ATGGTGGCTTGAGGGCCTACTGGACTATTTCTCATCATTCCAATGTTTTGTATGTTTGGGTACATTGCGATTTGAATCCATTACAGTATAAACTCAAACTCATGTAAAAACTTTTTATCAATCACACTGTCAGAACTGTTTTTATAGTGGCTGGTGATGGAGGAAGATAAATGGAGGCTAGGTATTTTAAAGTAAAAATGTATTACACCTGTACTGTGGACACTTTTGTTGTTCTCCTTACCTAAGAAATTAATATATTTCCTTTGGAAGGAGTGAGACCAACGGTCACTAGTTTTACTCCAGGGTAGGGGTTGGTTGTTCTATCAGGAGAGTTTAAGTAACCAAGCTTGCATAACATAGAGTTCAGGAAGTTATCACATTTAATATATTTCAATTTTTTAAAGTTATTTACTAGAAAGGGATCCTTCCAGCTAATGGGAGAACTAGAATTTATTGTCTCAGAATAAAGGTGTTGGCTATTTAGCACTAAATGTTGTGAACTTTTGGAATTCTTGACTAGATTGCTATGTATGCTCAGTCATTAAGTATATCCAAGACAGAGGTTCATTCGTTTTCCTTGGCATCTACAAACCTGTAGATATGAGGATTTTGTGGGGAGGTGTAACTGAGGTAGACAAAGAATTATTTTATTTAATTGTGGAGTGGGCTTAAGGGACCAAACAATCAGTTATTGGTCTTTCTACTAGTTTGAAAGAGGGGAAGAATTGATAATGATATGTTGAAGTGGTTTCTATTAGTTTGAATGTGATACTAGCTGCCTGACAGAATATTGTCCTTCGGCATTAATATCCTGAAAGATGGGACGAAGTTGAAAATAAAGTTTACAATTTCGAGGGATGTAGAAAGGTACTGGATATCCTTCATGAATGAGAAATGATAGCAGAAATAACATACAATTGCATTCTTTCAAATAGTCACTATATTCTGTCTGAAATTGAGGTGCATTGAATGAACGGTGCCATTTTAATACAATACATTCCTTTTAAGCTTATCCTAATGTGAATATGTTACAATCGGGGAACTAATTTAAATGCTTGTCTAATGTTTTTTAAAAATTGAATAGACACTGCATTCCAAAGCCATTTTGTCTTTTACGGTGGTTCTCTGGGGAGACAATTCTGGTGATGTCTTGGTCTGGGCTAATGACCCAATGTTACACTGCCCATGCCACAATATTATTGGTAGGAGTGGGAGCCTTTTTAGTATGCCTTGTTAAAATCTGGGGAGGAAAGGGAGTATTACCATAGGGAGGGTGATCCTTTTACACAGAGGACACCCCTTCCTTCCTCGCACAGGTACACACACTCTTGATCTTCTCGTAATCACATTGGCTATCAGCCCGAATGCTGAGAGTCGTGCCATTGAGGGACAGAGGTCCCAGTCTACACTAATGTAACACCTATTACATGACAGGCTTGTTTTGAGTTCTGACTGCCAACTTTCGTTTAGCTCACCTCCCTTTTTAAATTTCTGCTCCAACATTCAATGAAATGAGGAAATTACTGTTTGATTTTTCCCTCCTTCCTCCAGCTTTGCTACATTGCCAAGTCTCTTAGTGAGAGACCAATGAAATGTACCAATTTATTTGAAGTTGTGGTACTTGTATGATAAACACAGCCGATTAAAGTTCGGGCTTTTCCACTCAAATGCAAGTCAATTTTTAACAGTGTAATCAGCCTTAATTACGTAACAATCTCTCTGGAACTGAAAGTTAACTTTAAGTGTAGCATCTTAGTCCTTAAGACTTTTATTAGAGATTTTTTAAAGTACAAGCATTTATTCTGACTCAACTATCTCTTAATCCCACCTTTTTCTTTTTCTCTCACTTTTTGTAAATTATACTTTACTGAATTACACATTCTGACTTGCACTTCTGATTTAGTCCTGTGTGTTGTACTGAGGATTCTTCAATCTGGTTGGGAAGAGACACCACTGCTTGTTATATTCTCACAAATTCAGAATCCTTTGTGGAGGGTTATGTTCTGGCTCTTTTAAAAAACACAGCAAGTTGAAATGCAGAAGGCCACGAGAGTGCTAATGTTGCCATTCATTTACTTCTGGTTACAAAATCGAGGCCAATAACTTAAGCAGGACTTTCCATATCCTCAACCATCTTTACCGCTGTCATTTTCACCTTCCTACTCTGCTCCCCTCTTCGGGTCAGAAGTTGTCTCTCTTCCACTCTAGAGTTCTGGATCCTAAGGTAATGAAACAGTCCAATACTAGTTTCACACTCATTGCCCCAAGTGGCTGGGATGCTTGATTTCTCACATGCTGTTTGCACTTGGCCTCAACTCAGGTTTTTTATACATGTTTCTTCTCAAGTTTGGGTGGTCTAGGGCAAGAGATTTTTATTGAGCTGGTTGAGATATTGCATTTTTTTTTCAAGAAGTCTGAGGACATTCTGGAAGCATTTCCTCTGCTCTCCTGGTAACCACTTACTGTGAAAGATAGAAGATAGGTGTAGACTGTTCAATCTCTCAAGCTTGTTCTACCATTCAAGATGATCATGGCTGATCATCGTGCTCAATACCCTAATCCCACCCAAGCCCCAAATCTATTAATCCCTTTAGCCCTAACAGCTATATCAACTACCTTCCACCTTCTTCAAAACACATAAGATTTTGGCTTCAACCACTTTCTGTGGTAGTGAATTGCACAGACTCACCATTCTCTGGGTCAAGAAATTTCCCCTCATCTTGGTCCTACCAAATTTACCTCTTAACCAGGGATCATAGTTTAAAGCTCTGGACTCCCTCATCACTGGAAACATGATTTCTGCAACCAATCTGTCTAGTCCTGATAGAATTTTTATAGGTTTCTGAGATCCGTCCCTCATCTTTCTAAATTCCAGTGACTGCAATCCTAACTGACTGAATCACTCCTCATGCAAGTACAATACTGCCATCCAGGAATAAATTTGGTAAACCAAATTTTGCTGCACTCTCTATAGCATGAATATTCTTTCTCAGGTAAAGAGACCAAAAGTGTACACAATATTCCAGGTGTGGCCTCACCAATGTCCTGTATAATTGCAGTAAGATATCCTTGTTCCTGGACTTGAATTCTCTCACTAAGAAGGCCAAGATACAGTTTACCTTCTTCACTGCTTGCTGCACCTGTGTACTTACTTTGAGCGATTGGTGCATGAGGTCACCAGGTCTCGTTGAACATTCCCCTCTCTCAATTTACAGGCATTCAAACAATAATCTGCCATCCTACTTTTACTACCAATATGGATAACCATCCATTTATCTACATTATATTGCATCTACTATGCATTTGCCCACCCATTCTGTCCAAATCGCACTACAATATCTGCATCCACCCCACAGCACAACCTTCCATGCAGCTGTATTATCTGCAGATTTTGTGATATTACATTTAGTTCCCTCATCTAAATCATTAACATATATTGTGAATAGCTAGAGTCCCAGCACCAATCCCTGTGGTACCCCAGTAGTCACACCTGCCATTCAGAAAATAAGTTTCCTATCTGCTAACCAATTTTCTGTCCATCTCAGTACACTACCACCAATCCCATACATTTTAATTTTACACGTTAATTTCTCATGTGGGACTTGAAGAAATTCTTCTGAGAATCCAAATAAACCACTTCCGCAAGCTCCCCGATCAACTCTATTCACAACATCTTTGAAGAGTTTCAGCAGATTTGTCTACTGATTTTACCACTGTTTTCTAAGTACTCTGCTATGAAATCCTTGTTAATGGACTCCAGACATTCCCCACTACCATCGTCAGACTCCCTTTTCTATAATTCCCTGATTTCTCTCTCCCTCCCTCCCTTTTAAAATAGTGGGGTTACATTAGCTGTGCTTCAGTTTGTAGGTACTTCTCCAGAGTCTAATGAATCTTGAAAGATAATCACCAATGCATCCACTATTTCCAGGGCCACTTTCTTAAATGCCATGGGATGTAGATTATCAGAGTCTGGGGGTTTATCAACTTTCAATCTCATCAATTTCTCCAGCACCAATTCTCTACTAATGCAGTTTTGGTTCAGTTCTTCCCTTTTACTAAACACTGTTCTTTGTCATTTCTGGTTTGCTGTTTGTGTCCTCCTTTGTGACAACAGATGTGAAGTATGAATTTAGCTCATCAGCCATTTCTTTGTTCCATTATAACTTCTCCTGTTTCTCAATGTAAGGGACGTACTTTGGTTCAAACTCATCTTTTTTTCATTACATACCTGCAGAAACTTTCAAGTCAGTTCTTATGTTCTCTGCAAGCTTACTCTATTCCCTATTTTCCCCTTCTTAATCAATTCCTTGGTCCTCCTTTGCTGACTTCTAAATGGTTCCCAATCCTCCAGTCCGTTTCTTTTCTTGCCTGTTTTTGTTATTCTCCCTTTTTTTTGCATCTAATACTATCTCTAACTTTTGACCTAAGTCATGGTTTGGCCACTGTTCTCTTTGCTCTCTTGTGCCTGATGGGAATAAACACTTTTGTAGTTCAGCCATTTGCTGTTTGAATGTTTACTTTTATTCTTATTGCCTATCCACAGTCATTCCTTTAAGTAACATTTTGCAATCCATCATGGCCAACTCACACCTCATACCAGCATAGTTTCCCTAATTAAGATTCAGAACCCAAGTCTCAGAATCAGCAACCTTACTCTCCTTCTTGATGAATTCTATCATCCCCAAGGGTATCTTCCCAACTACATTTGCTATTATTCCTTTCTGTATTGCATAATATCTATTTCTAAGATGGCCCATTCTCTGCTTGGTTCCTCAACTCAGGTTGGAAACAACTGTGCTAAGGTTAAATAAGGATAGTTAGAACAGAACGAGGGCAGAGCTAGCTGGAGTGGACTGGAAAAGGTTAGCAACAAACATGGTTAGGAACAATGGCAAATTTTTAAGAAAATAGTTTATGCCTCACAGCAAAGCCATATTCTATTGTGAAAGCAGGATTCTAGGAAGGAGATAAGTCAACCGTCGCTAACCAGGGAAGTTAAGGATAGCATCAGATTGAAAGATTATCTGATGTTTGGACCAGGCGTGGCATGGCTGAAGCAAGGTCAAAAATCACATGGCACCAGGTTATACTCCAACAGGTTTATTTGAAATCATAAGCTGCCCCTTTCGTGAGGTGAAGTGAAAAGAGTATCCAGGCACAAACTTTATAATCAGAGAGGTCAAAAGATCATACAAATAGTGTGAGTACAGTGTTGACAGGCTGAAAGAATAGGTCTCTGCAGGTGATCGAGAGTGTCAGACAGTGTGAGTAAAGTTCAACAGCTGAATAACAAGTGAAGGGATGACCTATAATCCAATTAATTTGAGGCAGAGAGATAATTACAACAAGAGTTTAGTTCTGAGGAAGGGTCACCGGACCTGAAATGTTAACTCTGTTTTCTCCTCCACAGATGCTGCCAGACCTGCTGAGCTTTTCCAGCAACTTTGTTTTTGTTCCTGATTTACAGCATCCGCAGTTCTTTTGGTTTTTAATTACAATAAGAGTCACATGCAGAGGTTAGACCCTTGGTATGCAACTCTTATATGTAGCATGTTATTCCAGTCATTTGGTTTATGTCCAGCACCACGCTATTTTTAATTTTTTTTTGAAATTACAACAGCAAAAAATATCATCTAGAGAAGAAAGGGGAAAATTTAGGTGAATAGTACCTGAGTTATGAAGTCTAAATATTAGTTACTGTTGTAATTCCTCAACATAACTCCAGCATTTATACAATTCAAATATTTTGCATTTATTTTCTATGCTGTCAATTTCCATTATTGCAGTATACTTTGCCTCGAGGAAATGTCTGAACATTTAAAAACACTGTGCTCATAAATAACCTGCTTACTTCTAATCTTATTGTTCATGTACTATTGTGCCATAGATTAAACTCAGCTTTTATTTTAATACATGTTGAACTGAATAAATACCTGCCACATTACAGTCATGCTTAAAGTAGACTTGAAGCAAGATGAATGCTAGACAGATAACAAGTAATTTTGCTCTTAAACACTGACTATCAATGTTAGTTATATTTTAATCATCTTAATATAAATATACAGAAAATCAGGTCTTGAGTTATGATTGCTTTTTGTGATTTGGTGTTTGGTGTTAAATGCTTCTAATGAGGAAAAGATTGAAATGATCTGCTCTGGCTGACACTCTTGCAGAAAGGTACATTCTAGCAAGCAGTGCTTTTAAAGGTTGGCCACAGCATTTCATTCTAATAATAAGGGAGACTAAATGATATATCCGTGACAGCAGTGATCTGTTGGCTTCTAGGAAAAGATAGTACAGCACACTTTGGGCTTTGATTTGATTTATTATTATTGTCACGTGCACTGCAATACAGTGAAAAGTATTGTTTTGCATGCTAACCAGACAAATCATGCCTTACATGAGTACATCAGGGTAATAGAAAACAATGCAGAATATAGTGTAGCAGCTACAGAGAAGGTACAGAGAAAGATTAACTCGAATATGAGCGGTCCATTCATAAGGAGCGGTCCATATGAGCGATCCATACCCGGGTAAACATATGGTAAAATTGTTGCCTAACAAAATGAAAATTGAAGATAACACTTTAAGTTATGACAATGCATGATAAACCATTGTTATTTCATCATGTATTGATTTTGTTTTTTCTGTTTTAACAGGCAGATGTCAATAATTTAAAGAACTTCCTTTCCACGTTAAGGCTGGCTCACCGAGGTAGTGAAATAGACACTATACCATTGTCCAATCTAGCTCCAGTTAAGACTGCAGAAGTTGAAAAGCCAAAAGCCAAAATGGTTATCACATCTAGGAAGGATTATCCTCTCACCACAAATTTCCCTTATTCTCTAGAGTTTCTACAGGTGTCCTACTGCAAACTAGCACGTGTGGATATGCGAATGCTTTGCCTTCGAAAACTGCGGAAGCTGGATCTTAGCAATAACCACATACACAAACTTCCAGCTACCATTGGGGATCTTTCTTGTCTGTCTGAGCTTGTTTTGCACAATAACCACTTGGAAACATTCAGTATTGCATTGTGTAGCTCCACATTGCAGAAATCTTTGCAGTTTTTGGATTTGAGCCACAACAGATTGCGTGCTTTGCCTATTCAGTTCTGTCAACTGCGAGAACTTATTCATCTAAAACTTGATGACAACGAGTTACTCCGGCTTCCTTACAGGATTGGGCAGCTGACTAAACTACGCTTCTTCTCAGCAGCACGTAACAAATTGCCTTATCTTCCATGCAATTTTCAGAAGTTGTGCCTTGAGAATGTGGATCTATTTGGAAACCTTTTTGAACAACCTAGTCCTTTGGCTCCAATGATTCAGCTGCAGATTCCAATGACTCTAGTAGAGATAGCCGCTAGAGCAACAATAAATTACAGGTAAGGCATTTTAACCAAATAAATAGATGCAGCATTTAATAATGGCTTAAACTGAGCAACAGTTAAACTGACTTAGGCTGAGCAGCATCTTCACTTGGTTTCAACAATGTGGATTTAATTCAGAGCTGATCACGCTGTTTCCCTTTAAACTTGGCCAAGTATTGGGTGGACGTTCAAAGATTAAATATTTCAACATGGAAGAACAATAAGTGACAGATATAAATCGATGTGATTACATTGTTTAATTGCAGCTCAGCAATTTGCAGAATTCTATTCTCTGCCTCTGCCAGCTCCAGTGCTGATTCTGGGGAAAAAAATGCCCTGAAAGAAGTTATTTTAATTGGCAATTTTTAAACAATAAGAGTAAGTACAAAAAGACTTTTGTCTGTGGGAGGTACTAGATAAATAAAAATGAACAAAGCTGTATTTAAAATCCTGAGCAAAATTTATTCTATTTTAGAAACTTCTTTCAACCTGTAGTTTCAAAAAATAACTTACTGCTATTCTAATAAAAAAAAATCTCTCACACAGTACGCTCCATCCAGAAGGCGGATTTATTTTTTAGGTCTAGTTTCAAAGATGTCAACAGATTTCCAATACCTGTATAACTGACTAGACAGCCGTTTTGATTATTTATGATTATTATCATTATTATTACTACTACTACTGCTACTACCACTACCATAGCAAGGACATGCATGTCCCTGCAAAACTAAAGGATAGGAATGGCAGGATTCAGGAACCATGGATGACAAGGGAAATTGTAAGGTTAGTCAAAAGAAAAAGGGAAGCAAACAACAAGTCTAGGCAGGTACAAACTGACAAAGCCTTGGATGAGTACAGTCAAATTAGGAAGGAATTTAAATGCACAATTAGGAAGGCAAAAAGAGGCCATGAAATGTCTTTAGCAAATAGGGTCAAGGAGAATCCCACGGCTTTTATGCATATGTTAAGTGAAAGAGGGTAACAAGAGAAAGAGTAGGCGCACTCGAGGACGAAGGAGGGAAGTTATACGTAGAGCCACAGGAAGTGGGGGAGATCCTGAATGAGTACTTTGTATCGGTTTTCACCAAGGAGAAGGACATGACTAATGTTGAGGTCAGGGATGAGTGTATGAATATTCTAGAGAATGTCAGCATATTGAAAGAGTAAATTTTTTTGTGAATCCTAAATTGCATTAAGATAGACAAGTCCCCAGATTTGGATGGGATCTATCCCAGGTTACTCGGAGGCAAGGGAGGAAATAGCTGGGGCATTGGCAGATATCTCCACATCCTCATCGACCACAGGTGAAGTTCCAGAAGAGTGGAGATTAGTGAATGTTTTTCCCTTGTTTAAGAAAGAATGCAGAGATAATCCAGGAAACTATAGGCCGGTGAGCTTGACGTCTGTGGTGGGGAAGCTCTTGGAGAAGAATCTGAGGGACAAGACCTGTGCACATTGAGGAAAATGGACTAGTTAGTGACAGGCAGCATGGTTTTTTTCTGGGGAAGGTCATGTCACACCAACCTGATTTGAATTTTTTGAAGAGGTAATGAGGATAATTGATGAGGGAGGGGCTGTAGGTATAGTTTATATGGACTTTACTAAGGCATTTGATAAAGTCCCACCTGGCAGGTTGGTACAAAAACTAAAATCACAAGGTATTCGGGGTGCCCTGGCTGGATGGATAGAAAACTGGCTTGGTCATAGAAGACAGAGGGTAGTGGTGGAAGGATATTTTTCAGAATGGACACCGGTAACTAGTGGTGTTCCACAGGGGTCAGTCTTAGGTCCTTTGTTGTTTGTAATATATATATATAAGATCTGGAGGAAAATGTGGGTGGTCTGATAAGCAAGTTTGCTGATGACATGAAGATTGGTGGAGTTGCTGATAGTGCCAACGATTGTGAAAATATACAACAGGATAAAGATAGATTGGCGACTTGGGCTCAGAAATAGCAGATGAAGTTTAATCCAGACAAATACGAGGTGATGCATTTTGGAGGATCAAATTTAGATGTGAATTATATTGTAAATGGCAGAACCCTTCAGAACTCTAACATTCAGACTGATCTGGGCGTACAGGTCCACAGTTCCCTGAAAGTGGCATCACATGTAGCCATGGTGATTAAAAAGGCATATGGCATGCTTGCCTTCACTGCCCGGGGCATGGACAAGAGTTGGCAAAACATGTTGCAGCTATATAAAACCCTTGTTAGGCCACATTTGGAGTATTGTGTGCAGTTTGGGTCACCATACCACCAGAAGGATGTGGAAGCTTTGGAGAGAGTACAGAGAAGGTTCACCAGGATGTTGCCTGGTCTCCAGGGCATTGGCTATGAGGAAAGGTTAAAAAGACTAGGATTGTTTTCACTGGAAAGATGGCAGCTGAGAGGAGACCTGATAGAGGTCTACAAAATTATGAGAGGCATAGATAGGATGGATCGTCAGAGGCTTTTTCCCAGGGTTGATGTTTCAATTACAAGCGGGCACAGGTTCAAGGTCAGAGGGGGGATGTTTAAGGGAGATGTGCAGGGGAAGTTTTTCTCGCAGAGAGTGGTAGCAGCCTGGAATGCACTACCAGAAGAGGTGGTGGAAGTGGGCACATTGAAGACACGTAAGAGGCACCTCGATGGGTACATGAATAGGGAAGGAATAGAGGGATACAGATCGAAAAATGGTAGGTTTGTTTGTGGATTAATTAAGGCATGATGGTCGGCACAGGCTTGGAGGGCCGAAAGGCCTGTTTCTGTGCTGTACTTTTTCATTTGTTTGTTTGTTATGTAACCTTGGACTGGGGATAACTAGAGCTGATCATATTTAGAATCTTACTGATGTTTTTCAACATGAGTGCTTTCCAGCAAAGGTCCCTAGGCAGCAGTTGAGATTTTAAGAGGTTTCTAGTTGATTTTTGTACCCTCTTCTGACTAGTTTATTCCATCAGCCAAAGCCTGAGAAGTCTCCAGGTAAACTGTCTGCAATGTCACCCTCGGTGAAATTGATTAATACAAAAACGAAACCTGAGAATGTCCTTGTGATGGCACTGCTCAACCAAACCTGTCAGAGCTCCCAGAGCCAGGTGTTTATTAAACTCTATCAAACTGAAAGTACATTTTTGCATTGAAACTAATTGGTTTCTCCCTTGAATGCTGTGTGACTGAGGGTATGGAGTTTGAATGATGGGGAAAACTTAGATTCAAACCAGGAATTGAATGGGAATGTGATATTCAAATTCATATTCAGATTCTGAGCTGTCTTTTAGTTTCTTTGCAAAAAAATCATTCAGAAAGCAAAAATGATACGTTTCTTCAAACATTTGCTAAATCAGGAGTATTATGCATTCTATTATGTAAACATATATAACAATATGTGGAAACCAGGACGAAGTGTTGTATTTAATTTTGATTTATTTGCTACGTGGTCAATTATAACCATCAGCAGAATTACCTGGAATACATTTGTTGTGGTTTTGAATGCCTTCTGTTGTTTGAGATTTGTTCATCGTGCATCTTGCACTTAAACTGTTTTACTGTCTTTTTTTAACTAATTGCATTGTTTTACTTGTAAAGAATTGCTTATGGACCACACATCCTTCCAGCCCATTTATGTCAAGATCTGGATTTGACTAAAACCTGCCTTTGCAGAAGACCTTGTTTGAACTCCTTCATTCAAGTCGTTGTAAATTTGAACTTGCATCAAGTGTCCCATACTGTGGTCCTTGTGGACAACATGGGTGGCACTGAAGCCCCAATTCTCTGTTACTTCTGTTCGTTAACCTGCTACTCAGAGTTCCTTGACAGATATCACCAACGCAACAGATGATCAATGTAAAATATTGTAGCCAACTGGTAGATTGCAGAATTTCTACCAGACATACTAATTTTGAACAGAGATGAGCAAAAACTTCAAGAATCTACACATCTGTTCAGCGTTGGTGCATACTCCTATGGTGAATGCAATAGAACAAAATGTATATTTTAGGAACACTACAAACAATTTGAACTCCAACTCCCACCAGTGACTGGGATAATATTTTTAATGTTTGTGTATTAACTCTTGAGTTAAACTAATGTTCACTAGTTTGGATAATATATTTTGTAATTTTGGGATACTTGCATTAAGTCTGTTTCGATAGAAAATAACTTTAGTACTGTGTGTTTGCAATACTTTTAAGAATTACGTTTGTAAACTGTATTTCTGTATGGATTAAGTTATGCACAACCACAGTTAATATAAAGGAACGTAACAGTATTCAGTGTATATAGACCATTGGCTGTATTATTTTCTTACAGCTGTGTTTAAGCTTGAAATTTGAAGTTGTCTTTTTTAAGTTTGAGATTAACGTACAAGGAATTTGTTCCAGTGTACTTAGCATTTTCATTTATATTTAATAAAAATTAAATTAATTCAATGTGTCCACTAGTATTCTAGCAGACAGACCAATATTGAGGCCAATTATAATGTGACAAGTTCTTAGAAATTTTAGTTCCTTTTGCAGTTTTGCATTTCATATTTGTTTTATCGTAAATGATTTTCTATAAAGGGAAAATGTATTGAATCATCCAACTTAGATCTGTTAAAAGTTTAGTCCTTGAAGTTTGGAGATCTACTTTCAAGAATTCAGACTTCTGGTCAGTCTGGTCTGACCAATACTTGTGAGAATAATAATTTCACATCATCACGTGACATAATTAGTGGTTCTCTATATTTGACATATTTCATCAACTCTGTCAGCACTTCACAATTCATAGATGTGAGCAAGTTACATGTCTGGAACACAATCTTTGGTCAGAAAAGCATTTTTAATAAATTACATCTGCCATATAGGACTGAATCTATGCTTTAGTGTTCATTGTTCTGCGACTAGTGATGATTTGTTTGTCATGTTCACTTTATTCATTAATCTCCTGTGGTGCTGCAGAGTCAAATCCAAGCATAACACTTCAGTGAAATGGAGTGGGCGGTTGGGGTGGACAAATAGGAGTGAATGAAATGACTGGACCAGGGTCTACAAAATAATGTTTTTTTAGTAAGAGATGTTGCACAGTTGCCTCACTGTATGCTTAATGAATTATTTTGAATGTGTTAAATCTCATGTAGATGTGACTCAGCTGTCTGGTGTTCCTGTTTAATTTTTGACTTAATTTCTCTTTAAGATTTAATGAACTCACTAAAATTGCAAGCTATTGGCCTAACTGTGGACAGACACCAGTCTGAGTGGGAGATCACTGCAGATAGGTGACTGCTAATTTAAAGGAGAATATTTGGCAGCAAAGATGGACAAAGTAGACGCTCCTCACTGATCATTTAAAATTCTTTTGTGACAGAGCCACATTACTGAGCAGCTTGGTTAGAAGCATTACTCAGTGGTCGAAAATAACCTTTGAAAGTGAGAAAATTATTTTATTAAAATATGTACTGGGAAAGCATTTAGAAGTCATCTAACATGTAAAAATATTTTCTCACCTGACAATTTGTGACTTAATGCAAATGAAAATAGGGCAGTGCCTAACTTGTAAGTAGAGAGAGATTGCTCAATACCAGAAGCAAGTCCTATTGGAGCTTTGTATACAGATATTTCAGTAAATTATTAACAAAACTACAATAGGGCACACTGGACATGTTTTAACTTGCACAATTGTGTAGAATGTTATTGCCCTGTCAGAAAACGTTTTGAAGAATAATCTTTACCAGGGGTGGATAGTCATATATAACAGCAGCTGTTTCAGTCATGCAAGAAGCTGAGACTACTTCCTGGTGACTCCCTCTATTGTTATAATATCATTTTATCTGTTTTGAGCAGTTGTAGAATTATAAAATTCATACTCATGTTACAGCATTCTATAGCTTTTAGTGCGTAAAGTTTTACCATCTCCACCCTAAAACTGAACAACTCCAAAGTTCTGTTGCCTATAATTCCTATTCACACCAAGCTCACTGAGCATTGATTGGTGATCTGCTAATCCTTCCATTTCTGTTTTAATTTTCCTCATTTTCAAATCCATCCACGGTCTCATCCTCCTTTTGGCCCTACAACACTGAACTCAGCTTCTCCAATTCTGGCCTATTTGTGATTTTAATTTATCCACCATTCCCAAACATTCCTTCAGCTGTGCCAGTCCCAACTTTCATTGGTGTTCTCCTTCTCCTAAATAGAACCATGTCTTAATATTTTAAGACTTGGCTTTAAATTTGTGTTTACTAATGCTCCTGTGATGTTTAACGTGGGACGATTTACTATTGAAAGATGTTCTATTTAAACACATTAGTTGTATACATTGTTGTCTCAATGAAAACTCTTGCTGAAAAATAAAACCCACACTGAAGAATGCAGCATAACTTTAAAATGACTATTTATGTTTTCCTTCACTTTACTCCAATTTTCTTCAATTATTCTCCACTTTCACCATCTGCTTTTGATTTATGCTTTTGGTAGAGATGTTATTCTTGCTTTCCAATCGAGAAAACGAGAAACTTGATTTTTGTCCAACTTGTGCCGAATGTGATGGATGTTAGTACTGAGATTATATTCTATTTTGGGAACCCTCAGCAATGAATTCTCACTTCAACAGACCCTGCTGGGATACATCTTAAAGCCTTTACTACTCTACTATTATTACGTGGCTTGGATTCAAGCTTAAAAGATTACCATCTGTTACACTAACACTTCCTCCATTTGCTATCCTGTAGTATGCCTGACTAAAATTTGGCATTTGGCCCTAAATTGGAGGCAACTTGGCATTGGGAGCCTATGTCCTCAAGGAATCGAGTTAGAGACTTTTAAATCTGATTTTGAATTCTCATAAAAGGCATGGATTATTAGAACATATCCTTTCATTACTTTTTTTTATATTTTCTAATCAACATGTTCAGAGATGCTAGTAAACTCCTCTGGAACAAGTGGGACTTGAACCCAAGTCTCCAGGCTCGGAGGTGGGGGTGTTACTACTGCATCACAAGAGACCCCAAAATTGCATCTCTGCCTATTTTGTTATTTTGTAGATTTTTATTCAACCTAGTCAGATGTTATTTATACATCTCTGGAGCAGATGTGACTTGAAACTGGACCTCCTTGTTTGGAGGTAGGGATACTACTAGTGCACCACTATTATTCCCAATCTTGCCATACTAGATATTTTTTTAATCAACCTGTATCAGAGATATTATGACACAGCTTTGGAACAAGTGGGAACTGAACATGGTTCTCCTGCAGCAGAGATAGGGACAAATCTTTGTCTTGTTAGACCAGTAACAATTTTTTACAGAACGAAGCTATTTGATACATTGTAACATAACACACTTCACCTGTAATCCATCAGAGAGCAAAAATCTTTCTGATACAGATACTTCAGCCAAGATAGATAATAGCTGTGATGTTAAAATTATAATGAATATTACTATACACCCCAATAGCAGTGTTTTGAAACTGGTTAATTGCAGTCAGATATTATATGAAAGTGACATAGCAGGGTGAACTCTGACTATTAACAAATTTCAGCTTTACAGCCATACATAATCATCTACTGTACACAGCAGAAGCCTGATGTAAGCAGAGGAGCTGCCATCCAACATAAGATATTCCTTCTTGGACAGATGTCTAGGGGAGGGAAAAGTTATTTAAGAATAGCTACTTTCTTCAGAAATTTAATGCTGGTGGAAATATCAAGATAATTTAGCAAGTAGTGAAACAATCTATCCCAGATTCACCAAGACAATGAACAACATAGAGACTTGACTTGATTGCTACCATTCAGAATTATGCCACATAAATGTCACTGTATGATTAACTCCAGGAATAGAACCTGAAGGTCACCAATGACTGGAAATTCAACTGAACTGACCACACTGGAGCAGGTCAGAGGCATTTGATGTATGAAAACAATAACAACTGTGTTCACTTCCAAATTGTATATCATATTTGGGCATATATCACTGTTCTCTAGTTGTATTTGGGCCAGAATTCTCAAATAGCAAAGGTGAGGTAACTGACAGAGCAGTTAAGTAGCAACTTGATGTGTGTGCAAGTGGAGGACCTGAAGCCAGGCAGTCAGCAACACCTAAAGGACCCTGAAACTCTGGAAGTAAAGCAAGAAGCTAGTTATTTCATTATTTATCTTGTTCTTGAGTGGTAAACTTAATTAATTCTAACTTTAGAATCCAATAATCTTATAGTGAAGACACTCCTAGGCAGCAGTGCCCATGACTGAATTTTCTCTTCAGTCTGAGGGAGAAGAGGACTGGATCTGAGACCTGTTTTAAAATTCAAGGGAATAATGAAGGCATTAAATTGGCTAAAGTGAACCAACAAATTAATTTAAGGAATAGGTCAATAGAGATGCAGTACCAGATGTGTAATGGGATATTTCAGAACACACAAATGTAAATTCCGAGGGATGGACCTAGCATCCATAATTAACTAGAAATATTAAAATAGTAACAATAATTGTGCAAATACAGGTCATAAAACTGAAAATATTTTAAAAAGGCCCAAAAATTAATGAGAACATAATTAGATAGCAATTTATTCCTCACTCAGACTTCTTAAATGCATCATGTGTGCCTAGTCACACCCAAAAGGAACACTTAATATTCATTCCCAATTTAGTTTTCTTTGCCTTATAACTAATCTACAAAGATGACAACAACATTGTATTTCATCAAATTAATCATGTTTTCTCAAAGAACAAAAACCACCACAAAATTTGTATTGAGAGGCTAACAGACAAGCTAGAATTTGCTCCAATTGTATCTCAATCTCAGTTACTGGTGAATCATAGAATCCCTAGTGCTGAAAGAGGCCATTCAGCCCATTAAGTCTGCACCAACGGTTTGAAGAGCATCCCACCCAGACACCCCACACTCCCCAAACCCTATCTCTGCATTTAGTATGGCCAACCCACCTAACTTCCACATCTTTGGACTGCGGGAGGAAAACACAGGACCCACTGAAAACCCATGCAGACACGGGGAGAACGTGCAAACTCATCACAGAGAGACCCCCAAATGTTTAAACCTGATTTCAAAATGAACCACTGCAATTGCATTTCAGATGTGTACAACACCTGTATTTAAATAATGTTAACTAGGGGCAAAATCTCAGGTGACACCAAAATGGGAGGTATAGTGGACAGCAAAGAATGTCACCTCAGAGTACAACGGGATCTTGATCAGATGAGCCAATTGACCAAGGAGTGGCAGATGGGAGTTTAATTTAGATAAATATGAGGTGCTGCATTTTCACAGAATCCCTACAGTGTGGTAAAAGGCCATTCAGCCCAACAAGTCCACACCACCCCTCCAAAGAGCACCCTACCCAGACCCATTTGCCATGGCTACTCCACCTAACATACACATCCCTGGACACTATGGGCAATTTAGCATGGCCAATAGAAACCCATGCAGACACGGGGAGAATATGCAAACTCCACACAGTCACCTGAGGGTGGAATCAAACCCAGGTCCCTGGTGCTGTGAGGTAGCAGTGCTAACCATTGTGCTGTTCCCATGCTGCATTTTGGAAATGCAAATCAGGGTGCTTATTCACTTAATGGTAAGATCCTGGGGAGTGCTGCTGAACAAAAAGACCTTGGATGCAGGTTCATAGTTCCTTGAAAGTGGAGTCATGGGTAGACAGGATAGTGAAGAAAAGGTGTTTAGTATGCTTGCCTTTATTGGTCAGTGCATTCAGCATAGGAATTCGGAGGTCATGTTACAGCTGTGCAGGACATTGGTTAGGCCACTTTTGGAATACTGTGTTCAATTCTGGTCTCCCTGCTCCCTAGGAATATATAACAATGTTGTTGAGGAAACCGAGTGTAACATATGCAAATTTGCTAACGATACAAAGGTAGGTCAGAAAGTAAGCTGTAAATGTTGCGGCTGTACAGGACTTTAATTAGGCCACTTTTGGAATGCTGTGTGCAGTTCTGGTCTCCCTGCTATAGGAAGGATGTTGTGAAACTTGAAAAGATGCAGAAAAGATTTACAAGGATGTTGCCAGGGTTGGAGGGTCTGAGCTACAGGGAGGGCCGAATAGGCTGGGGCTATTTTTCCTGGAGCGTAGGAGGTTGAGGGGTGACCTTATAGAAGTTTATAAAATCATGAGGGGCATCGATAGGGTAAATAGACAAGGTCTTTTACTCAGGGTGGTGGGTGTCTAGAGGGCATAGGTTTAAGGTGAGAGGGGAAAGATTTAAGAGGGACCAAAGTGGCAACTTTTTCATGCAGAGGGCAGTGCATGTATGGAATGAGCTGCCAGAGGAAGTAGTGGAGGCTGGTACAATTACAACATTTAAAAGGCATCTAGATGGGTCTGAATAAGAAGGGTTTAGAAGGATATGGGTCAAATGCTGGCAAATGGGACTAGATTTATTTAGGATATCTGGTCAGCATGGACGAGTTGGACTGAAGGGTCTGTTTCCATGCTGTACATCTCTATGACTGAGAACAAAGAGAAACTTGTTTCAAACATTGACTTTGGCACTTGTATTCTGTACTGTTTAAATAAATTTGCAAATGTGATAAAGGGAGACATTTGTTTTAAGAACAAAAGCAGAAGTTGTTGGAAAAGCTCAGCAGGTCTGGCACCATCTGTGGAAAAAAAATCAGAGTTAATGTTTCGGGTCCAGTGACCGTTCCTCCATTTGTTTCTTCTGTTAATTAGGACAAGCTAAACTGCTCTCGCAGAGAAATTGCAGAGAAAGGATGGGCTAATAGTCAGCTTCCATACTTAATCCATCTTATTATTCCATGAGTTAAAAGGGCTAGGAACGAGTCCCTAGCTCAAGCAACAAGAAATGTAGTTAAATTAGAAAAGGGATATTAAATGCAGTAAAATCTTATACAACCAGACCAAAAAGAAAAATAGGCTGTCCTCTGCAGAAGATATAAATTAAAAACATCTTCAATGGGTTTCCACATTCAGTATATAAGCAAACAAGGCTCTTGGGTTTCTTATTTGGAAGCTTTGTTATTGTACCAAAAATTATCAGAGTTGCAGCTTATTTGTCCAGTCTTGTGGGATCCTTAAATGTGACAGATATTAAGACTATAAGACAGACAAGCAGAATTAAGCCATCGTGTGTGATCCATTGTTCCATTATGGCTGATATGTTTCACAACCCTGTTCTCCTGCCTTCTCCCCGTATTCTTTGATCCACTCACCAGCTATCTCTGTCTTAAATACAATCAATGACTGGGCCTCCACAGCAATGAGTTCTGAGCATTAACCGCCCTCTAGCTGAAGAAATTCCTTGTTATCTCAGTTGTAAAGGGTGGTCTCTTCATTCTGAGGCTGTGCCCTCAGGTCCTCCTCTCTCCTACTAACGGAAACATCTCCACATCCACTCTATGTAAGCCTCTCAGTATTCTGTCTGTTTCAATCAGATTCCCCCTCATCTTTCTAAACTCTACCCAGTACAGACCCAGAGTCCTCAACCGCTCCTGATATGACAAGCCCTTCATCCTGGGGATCATTCTTTGGAACCCCTCTTTCTTTAGATACAGGGCCCAAAATTGCTCAATATTCCAAATGCGGTTTAACCAGAGCCTTATACAGTCTCAGCAGTATATCTCTGCTCTTGTATTCAGGTCTCTGGAAATGAATGCTAACATTGCATTTGCCTTCCTAACTGCCAAGTGAATATTGCATGTTAACCTTAACAGAATCCTGAAGTAGGATTCCCAAGTCATGGTAATCACAGAATCCCTACAGTCAGGAAAAAGGCCACTTGGTCCATTGAGTCTGCGCCAACCCTCTGAAGAGCATCCCACCAGTACCCACCCTGTCCTTATAACCCCACGTTTACCATGGATAATCCATCTAGCCTGTTCGTCCCTAGATAACATGGGGTAATTTGGCATGGGCAATCAGACTAACCTGCACATTTCTGAAGCCTTTCCCTGTTTGGAAAATAACCTATGCCTCTATTCTTCTTACCAAAGTACATTACCTCACACCTTCCCATATTATATTCCATTGCCACTTCTTTGCCAGCTCTCCCAGCCGAAGTCCTTCTGCAGCCTCCCTGCTTCCTCAACGTTATCCACTCCTCTATCCATCTTTGTGACGTCTGCAAATTTAAATAAGACTAAAACAAGTCAAAAACATGATGCCCTTGTCACATCTTTGATCTAAGATATGGAATGAACTAATGGGGTCTGGCCAAACAAATTTTATCTACTGCCTGCAATGCTAAAACACAAGGTAGTAATCCATACAAGCTACAAAGATCATTTGTTTTCAAGACGGTGTGTCAATAATCTCACACCGGAACAAGCTGCCAAAGGTAATAGTCACAGCTCCATCGATTGAAATATTCAAGACCCATATGAAGATCATCTCCGTTTATAAGATTTTAATTATCGTAACTACCAGATCAGTGGATCAAGTCTGGTTCGGTCCACCCTAACTAGTCATAAGTGTTGGCAGAACACGGATGTAATGCTGACGCAACCTAAACAACTGGATTTGTTTTGAGTGTTGACCTTTCTTCCCAACACGATTTTGGTATGGACATTTATTTTCTATTTACGGGACCTACAAAGCTATTGTATGCGTTCATCATTTCTGTATCTGTTGTGTTCCTGTTTATTGTGATTGATATCCTTCCTTTAGAAAGAGGGAATACATCGCCCTTGTACAATTGTGGAGAACAATAAAACTGGTTAGTCAACCTCAAATCCTGTCAGCGAGATGAGATTTCAGAGCGTTCCGCGATTCCTTGATCAAAATGAATTTGAAAAGGCAGTATCCATGGAGATGGAACTGAGGTTAACGTTTCAGAGAGTCGACCTTTCACTTTCCACAGAGGCTACCCGACCTGCCGAGTATTTCCAGCATCGTCTGTTTCAAATTTGCCCAGCGATTGCACATTTTGGCCCGGTCACGGTGAGTAACTTTGCCAAAACAATCCACGGCTCTTTCCGGGTAAATTGCAGTAAACAGGAGATGGGCGGTGAGGGGATGACGTCATCCGCCAGCGCCGCTACGTGGCCGACCAATGAGCTTCGGGCGGGGCGGTTGATGGACAGTCGAGCTGTCCATACGATGTCCCTGGTGTCGAACGCACGCGCTCGGGTAGGTGCGGGAAGCGCGCCAATCGGGGCGGGGGAAAGGGGCGGGGTCTGGGTGACGGTTGGCAGATGTTGGAGGGAGTGGGGCCGCCGTCGGCAGCGGCCGGGAGAGAGAGGGGCAAGGTATCATGTCGGTGTCGGTTCAAATCGGGAGGCGGAGAGGAGAGTGGAGGCCGAGCACCATCGGCTGAGAGAGAAGGAGGGCCTGTCACCTCATACTCACAACCCCCCCACCCCCTTCCAGGAAACGGATATCCTCCAGTTGGCCTGCTGCACTGCTTTCTTCCGGGAGTCTTTAGCCGCGGTCTAAATTGTTGCGCCTGTGCCGGCTGATAATGGTCCCGTGTGGGATCACCGTGTGCCCGACGATAGGCTGCTGAGAGTGCAGCCGATTTATATAGAGTAACCAGGAGCCCATAGCTCTGCCCCTTTTCCTCCCCGCCTTTCTGTATTTTATAGTTCATTATTGTTAGCAGCAGCTCCGGTACTTTGATCGGTATCAGTTACGTGGCGGGGGTTGCCGCTTCCCCGACGGTCAACATGAGGTTCCGTATTTACAAGAGGAAAGTGCTGCTCTTGGCTCTCCTCATGCTGCTCGCTGCCTTCGTCTTGTGGACCGGCGGAAAGCAGAGGAAAAACGAAGCTTTTCCGAGGGAAGACCAAACTTCACGGAGCAGCGGGAGAGCGGGCACCGGGAACCCGAGTAGGAAAGTTTCCAACGAGTCTCAGGCGAGCAAGTTCGAAAAGCCCGAGGTCGATAACCTGACTGTGGTGTACCGCGGCATCGTTTTCCAGCTGAACTTTGATCAAACAGTCAGAAACCAGGAAACCATTAAGACCCGATCCCCAAACGATTTGGTGGTCGTTGTTCAAGTGCACAACAGACCGGAATACTTGCAGATCCTCGTCAATTCTCTCAGAAAAGCCAAAGGAATAGAGAACGTTCTACTGATCTTCAGCCACGACTTTTGGTCTCCGCAGATCAACCAGATTGTATCTAGCGTCGATTTTTGCCAAGTGTTGCAAATATTTTTTCCATTCAGTATCCAGCTGTATCCCAATGAATTCCCTGGACATGATCCCAGAGACTGCCCTCGTGACATAAGCAAAGAGAATGCTTTCAAGCTGGGTTGTATCAACGCTGAATATCCAGATTCATTTGGCCATTATCGAGAATCCAAATTTTGTCAGACTAAACATCACTGGTGGTGGAAGTTGCATTTTGTTTGGGAAAGAGTAAAAATTTTGGAAGATCATAAGGGGTTAGTGCTTTTCATTGAAGAGGACCATTATTTGTCACCTGATTTCTATCATGTCTTGAAAAACATGTGGCTTCTCAAGACTGAAAGTTGCCCGGACTGTGATATATTGACCCTTGGTACATATACACGTGTCAGTGATTTCACAGATAAAACCAGTAAAGTGGAAGTGAAAACCTGGCGATCGACAGAACACAACATGGGCATGGCTATGACTAGAGAGACATATCAAAAACTGATACAGTGCACAGATACTTTCTGTGCATATGATGACTACAACTGGGACTGGACATTACAGTATTTAACGGTGTCCTGTCTGCCTCGGTATTGGAAAGTTATGGTCTGTGAGGCTCCTCGTATTTTCCATGCTGGCGATTGTGGTATGCATCACAAGAAAACTTGCATGCCATCTGTTGAAGTTTCTAAAATTGACAAAATTATAAGTAGCAACATACAGCATTTGTTTCCAGAAACAATGGCAATAAGTGAAATATATCCTTTGGCTGCAATCAGTCCACATGTGAAGAATGGGGGTTGGGGAGATATTAGGGACCATGAACTTTGTGCAAGTTACCGTCGGCTCCAGTAATTATGTGGTAAATCTCTATATCAGATCATGTCTTTAATAGTTGTTTAGTTTTCACCTGTTATAAAAATGCAACAATGGGATACAATCTTTGACTGTCAAGATTAAAAATAAATGGCTAACCAATGGCTCGGTTAATAGCTACACCAGAAGGTGTTATCATTTGAGCTTTACAGATTAGAAAGATCCCAGGTGATACCTGATCTGTGATGAGTTAGCTGATTTTTAGCTAAGGTTGCAGTAGGAGGTGCTGCAATTGGGTTTGACATTTTCAGGGTTATGTAGAGGAAAGATCAGCTGTGATGCTAAATTCCTGACTATCCAGTGAAATTGCTGGAAAATTAATTTCGGCAATGTTGGCTGAGGATAGATTCAGCTTGGCTGCATACTGCCCAAAACTTTTCACTGACTGGGCCTACATTTGCAGATGCTGGCGACTACTGGTGCTTGTGGATCTGTACTCAGTCAAAAGTTACTGCCTTTACAAGAAGAGCAGCAGAATTTTGTGTTTGTTTAAAGGAAAATAAGTCCTTGTAGCAAGAGTTCCATTTTCTTCATTAACTTTATATATGTTCCGGTGTCTGAAGAGAAAATGGTATATGCAACTGTAAGAAGGCAAAGAAGCCAAAGGTGCTCATCTTATGTTGTGGGTGTAATTTTTAAGACTTCTGTTTTCATCATTCAGTTTATTTTACAGATGTTACTTGTTTAGCTCAGTGTTGTCACTGCACTTAGTGTTTCAGTTAACAATAAGAAAAGTCCCATAGTAATATGCCTTAATGGGTGATGTACTCATGTGCCCCTTTAAATCTATCATCCAAATTACTTCTGCCACCTATAACAAAACTGGAGCCAGAAATACTAAGTGTTATATATAGCTCAAAATACTTCTTTCCATAAAATACCCAGACTTTTCAAAATTCAAATAGAATTAATATGAAAAATTAATCAGCAATCTATTGTTTCAAACTGTAGTTTAAAAAATCACCCACAATGTGGCTGGATGAAAATTTCACCCACCACCACCTTAAATCTTTAATCTTGGTGACAATACTGTTCACTTAAAGCACAATTCTGTAACTATTTGAATCAGCAATGCAGTATTTTCAGTTAAATGTTTGCAATGACATTTAAGAAATCTAGCATGTCTTCCCTTACCCTATTCACCTCAGTGGTCTATCAGGTTCAGCTTACTTAACTGATGTTTCTTCATGGCAATTTGAGACACTGTTACGTACCTGAGACTTCTCATTGTTCAAAAGCAAATGCCTTGCTTGTAATTTTTTTTTTTATATTTCACCTCAAATAAAAGAACAGGAAAGCAATTCTTTGTGAAAGTGGAAAAAGATATTTTATCACAACATACTTCAATTTTTTCTGAAGACTTTGGTTTACACTGTATTTTGCTTTTTAAACACTTTAAATGTCTTCCCAATATGTAACTGCATCAATGGGAGGAAAGAACTATGGAGCATTTTTTTGTTTAAAGTATTTACAGTAGATGGAAGAATAATTGACAAATGCATTTTAATTCATTTGTGTGTGTGTTGATAGCAAAGCCAATCTTTGTTGTCCATCCCCAGTCACCTTCGAAGAAAGTGGAGAAAACCTGCCTTGAACTGTTGCCTTCCATGTGGTTGTAGGCACGCCCACAGTGCTGTTAAAGAGCTACAGGATGTTTTCATCTTTTATCCACAAGGAAACTTAAGTAAATGTTTCTGTGCCATTCTAATGATATCACCTTTTGGGAGTGCCTTGATCCAGCATGACTACACAGGAAACAATAGTAACCGCAACATTAATTCAAAAAATAAAAACCTGAGACTTCAAGATGCAACAGTTCAAGGCACTTTACAGGAGCATTATTAAACAAAACAGGGCAAGGAGTCACACATGGAGATATTAAGAAAGACAACTAAAAGCTTGGTCAAAGAGGCATGTTTTATGGAATGTTTTAAAAAGGGAAATTTGAGGCTAAAGAGATGTGGAAGAGTATTCCAAAGTCTGTGTGCCTCAGCATGCTCCTCATCAATAAATTTATCAAAAAGCACAATTAGTGGATGTCTTTAATTCATGCACACCTATCCAAATGACTTAATTTTGTCCAGGTTATTGTTTCTAAAATCTTTCTTGCCATTCTTTGCACGCTTTCTTTTAAGAAGGACATAAGATTTTCAATTTTTCAGTATCCTGAGTACCATCCCTGTTTTGCAGCATGCACACTTACTTCCTTCAGCATCCTAGGATGCATCCCATTCATATCTGGTGATTTTTTTCAACTTTTATGTAGAGTCAGCCTTTCTAATACCTCCTCTCTTTTAAGTGTTTGCCCATTCAATGTCTCAACTATCTCCTTTTTCGCTATGGTTTGGATAGCCTTTTCTACGGTTGTAAAAACAATCAATGCACTTGAAGTGAAAATGCTCATAACCCAAAAGAATCACTTGACAATTGGGAGCACTGCAAGTTTTATATGAAATGGGTGCAATAGCCTCCTTCATCCAGTAGTCCAACAGTTCCTCCCCAATTTATCCCAGACAAAATCTAATTTACATATATTCAGATTATTCAATGTAATATTTGAAAATTTCCAATTTTCAACTCTTTACTGCTGTCATTCCTCCCTACCTTTGAAATCTAGTCCAGTCATTTGCCTGTGCCAATATTTCTAATCTTCCAACTTTGCTCCACTGTACCCAGTTATCCTATCTTAATTCTAATTACTTCCAGCTTGAAGATTCCTCCCTAAAACACCAGTCTCCATCTTTGGACATAATCCCTAGTACCCATCTGATGCTCCAGTCCAACTGATAGAGGAGCAGAAGGTGAAACTTGCAATTCAAATTGGCAAGATTTACTCTATCAGGGAAATTGAAGAATTGTATATGTAGTTTTTAATGAGTATTTTTGTTTTTAACTCATGAGTTAGGGAACCAACATGAAGTTTGAATATTGGTACTACCAAAAATATTGGTGGTGGTGTCTTTAGCTCACTCAAACAGAATTTCAAAGTGCACTTTTTTTCCATGCATGTCGTAGAATGGAGATTCAGATAGCAATGGGAGAGGCTGTGATTTTCTTTTTAGCATATGACTGGCCAGGTATCCTAATCCTGTCAATGGCATGTGTTGGAAGGATTTCAAGGTTAATCATCAAATTGTTTAGCTGCATTGTGAATGACTTTTCTTGGCCATCAAGTCTTGAGGTGGAACTCTGAGACAGAGCTCTGGCTCAGAGGTCAGGAATCTGTCCACTGCATTATTACTATAATCTTAAGATAACAGTGATCGCAAACTCCAAAAAACAAATCAATAACTTAAATTATCAACAGTGATTCAAAAATAATTTGTTTTATTATAAATTAGTTCTGGCATTTGAAATATCCCACCCAGATGCAGAAATTATAACAATTTTTAACTTCTTTATTAAAATTATATAGTAGACTTGCCAGATAAAGTTAATTGCAAGATATTCAACAAAATAGAAATAAAAATACAGAGCTGAAACTATTTAAAATCAGCTGTTCCTGAGAAGTCTGCAGACTTAATTATAAATCACAAACTGTCTTAGAAATTGCCAGTTCGGCTGTTATGACATGGCCAACAGCTAACCAAAAATTAAACTCATTTTGTGATTTGGAATGCAGTTTAAAATGCAAACCAACCTATACTACAATGTATTACAGGTTTAAAGTTAAGACGCAATCTTTGTTTGTTCAGACCCCTGAAGTGCGAAGTCTTAAATAAGGTAAATAAAGTTAATGATTCCTTTCTAACCATATCATACATTTCTTTAGTCTAGTTGATACAATTCCATATTCTGAAAATTGAATGCAGATTGTGTTTTATGGTCACTTATAATCTTAATACTTTGGTCATTGGGATTGATTTCCTCAAGAATTTGCAGTGGAGCCGTAGTAATAATAAACTTAGGAGTGTTCCCATCCTTCTGGTTACTTGGAAGGTCATCTTCATCAAGTACATGACCATCATCCACTTCTACACACTGTTTAAATTGTACTGATTTTTTACAATTTACAGATTGTGGTTTGTCAGCATATATTGTACTTATGTGAGAGGGTGACATAATTGACTCACTTTTCATTTTAACCTCACTAAGTTTACTTGCATTAACAGCAGTCCAACTGTTACGGTCAATCAACTGATCCATGTCATTTGGAACTTTTATATTTGTTCCTTCTCCTGCCATAAGTAACTGGTCTTTGTGATTAGACACAGACTCAGGAGCATCATTTGCTAAGGATGTCTCTTTTTCCAATGTGTTATCCTCTGCAATAGATTCAGAGGGGTAAATTTCTCCTGTCTGTGGTTGAATGTTCGATGCAGCATTACAAGCTTCATTGTAGTTAACTCTGTCTGGCTTCAGGAAAAGTCTATGGGAACTGGTATTCTCACTCTCTTGTTGCTGAAATTATAAAATCAACAGTATTTGCCTGAATTAAAAGATTAGTTGTAAAAAGAAAAATCACATCACTGATCAATTTCTCATTTACAAGGCCTCTGAACAAAAATGCCAATAAAGGCAGCCAAGGATTTGACAGATTTCAGTTTACATTGTAATGGTTCCCTGGTATCTTATCACTGTTTCTGTGGTTACTTCTGTCTGTTGGGTTTGAGGGAACTGTTTGATATGCAAGAATAATAGTACTGAATGTCATTATAATTACCTGAAACAAAGATCAGCAATAACAACATTACACTGCAATTTTAAATTTTCATCGAACGCTACCAAAAAACATAAGTAGAATGTAAATGTATAATTTTCAGTCTGAAGCAGGTTCAACAATCACAGGTCTCAATTCCTCAATATTTCAAAAATCTATCAAAAGAAATTCGCTAACAATTCAAATTTTTAGTTACCAGTGCAGTTAGAGTAACTTTCAAAACAAAATTGGATACCTAGTTGAAAAGGAAAACATTGCAGTGACAGAGGAAAGAACAAGAGAGTACTAATAATTGGACAATTCGTTTAAAGAGCTGGCACAAGCATAATAGACCAAATAAGATTCTATGATTCCACGACAAGAGGTGGTGGATGTAATATTTCTCTTACAGTTATTACTACGAATAGTTTAATTGAATGAAGAGTAGCAGGAAATGATCAATTTCCAAATGCACTATACCTAATACGGAACGTTTTAAAATGTCCAATAGTAAATACGAATAAGATTAACCTGGAATCAAATTTAAGAGAGCTATATAATAATTTTTCTATAATATGTGATCAATGAAAACTACTAAAAGCTAAATCCTGAATTATCTAACCCTATTTTTTTTCGGGGACACAAAAACATCCAATTTGGAACTGAGAAAAGTAACAAATACATCAAACTTAAATCATGTGCAAACATACATGTTAAAAGCAAATTTCTGTTTTAACTGAGATGCATCATTTCCTCAAAATGCTTGGTTCTGAAGATTCCATGTTATTTTGTCAATTAAATTGAACAAATTTTATGCAAAAATAAATGTAAGAAATAGGAGGAATAGGCCATACAGCCCCTCAAATCTACCCTGCCATTCTGTAAAATCAGCTACTTTGCCCCAGGTCTGGACTCCTCTTGCGTGCCAGCTTCTTAAAACACCAGTGTACCAGTATGGGTAGGGTAACAAAGATTTCTGTTTTTCATTAGAATAGCATCTTTAGGTGATAGGATAGCGAGCTGACTAGCTCGCTGCCTTCCTTGCCATGCTGGATACTTGTAGAGAACTTATGCCCACAGACGATATATGGTTAAAAATGACATTAGTTGGGGCAATAAGTGTCTGCAGTTTTCCTTCACTAAATGTTGAATAAAATAGCACAATTCACTTTATACGTTCTTGCATTTGGATATTGGATAAGCATTGAATTATGCTCAGCCACAATATTTACTGCCATCAAATACCTAACAACAATCACTACAGGTTAATGCAGAACAATGAGCATTCTTTCAGCAGAGATAAAAGAGGAGAAATACAGTAATTGACAAAGATCATCTTGGGAAATAACATACTTTTGAATCTTCTTAGTTAAATATACAACAACTTATTTCTGCTTCGTAAAGCAATGCCATGACTGTTCTGCAATGTTTATCTCAATGGTCAATACAGGATAGTTTGTGAACGATATTCTGTTCTTGTTGAATCTTTGAATCTAGTTTCACATAACTCACCTTAGAATGAATAACAAGACCACTTTCACTGATTTCCGTCACACTAATTAAAGGATGTTTTCCTGATAGCTCATTTGGGACTGGATCCTCCAAAGTAGTACTCAAGAATTGATTGATATTTTCTGAAGTTACAAATAGTTTCTTCTAAATAAAAAGAACACTTTGTTCACGCATTTAATACAACATCTGATGAAACATACTTAATTGTTTATGCACTTTTACAAAACGTACTCCTGAAACAAAACCTATAAATCATTTAAACTTAACTTGATTCCTACAATATTGTAGTATTTTCATAAAGTGTCAACCTACATTAATAAGAATGGGTTTTGGTACTGTCTATTACTGGTATATGGTATGAATGAATTAAAACCACATGCAAATTTAACTGGTCTCTGAATAAAACAAATAAACATATAATCTTTCACTAAATACTTAAAGGCAACAAACTGATACTGTTCTAATAAACTGACATTCAAATTAACTTTCAAATGAACCAAGTGTCTTGAAATTTACATTGCCATTCGCATACTTGTAAATCTACAAGTGGGAAACTGCTCAGTCCCAACTACCATTTATAGTATAACTAAAAAATATAACCAATTATGAGAAGTTTTAGTCACGTAATTTTGTATTAGATTGTGCAATGTAACATGGGCATAAGATGGAAAAAAAAGCAGTGTTGAATATACTACAGCAATACAACTCCTTTTGTTAACTGCCCTCCCTCGTCAATAATTGTCTATGCAAGAGATTCTTGAATCCGTTATACTGCTCACAGTGCAGTCTCCTTCAAACTGGAAACCAAACTCAGCTCAGGGTCTAGGCCCGAAACGTCAGCCTCTCTGCTCCTATGATGCTGCTTGGCCTGCTGTGTTCATCCAGCCCTGCACCTTGTTGTCTCAGCTCAAACTGTCCATTGCAGGTTTAACCTTTTTAATGAAGACACATTAACTTCTTCCATTCCCACACCTTGATTTCTCCAATGTTGTTAAGTAAAGATTGCATCTTTTTATTTTCTGTATCTTTGAAATGGGGAAAGGTCTGTTATATATTGACATTTCATAATTGCTTACTCTTGAGTATAATGTAAGCTGTCTCCTAGGTAAACAATGATGGGCAATGCTCTCCCGAAAATTCCCTTCACCCTTCCAAATGGGATTGTGGACCTACCTACAGCATATGGAGTGCAGCAGTACAAGGCATCTCATCACCACCTTCTCAAGGGCAACTAGAGACAGGCAATAAATGCTGGCCATCAGCAACACCCATGTCCCATGAGTGAATTAAGAAAAAAAACTGGGTGAAAGGTGTACACACATTGCACCAGTACATAAGTTAATATATATGCTAAGCATACACAATGTTTGCAACAGGCAAGTGTTTCTGAAATCAACTTTCAATAGGTAAAGAGACAAAGATATTGCAGTAAGGATTTTTTTGTAATTACTCGTTAAATTTATAGCAAGGAAATGACTGCATAAATGCTTTTATCATACTGACGATCCCTGGGAGAGCACCGTCCATCATTGTTTACCTAGGAGACTGCTTACGTTATACCCAAGAGGACAATTTCCGACAATGTTCTACAATTCATTATGAAAGTTTTTTTTTAGGGACTAAGATACTGCATTGCCTTTCATTAACCTAATTACTAGTTTGTCCCTAAAAATAAACAGCAATAGGATGATTTTAAAATGTTTTCAGTATTGCTTTTAAAAAAGCTACAGGAATGCACAGACTAATTAGGGAAGGCAGAACAATTATTGTTGCAATTGCATTTTGTATGTGGCAAGATATTTCTGGGATCTACAAAGTTACCTGCAAACAGTTGCATGTACCTCCAACATGAAAGCTTTGCCACAAGCCTCGACACTCAGGTGATTTCATTAACACAACTGCAGCATTGTCTTTAGATATATTAACTATTGTTTCTGTGGTGTCCAGCTGATGTTCTGGAGGAAATTGAACTCTCAAAGAATAGAAGACATCAGAATCCTGAGTCCCAAATATAACACTATATTCATGAGTTTGAAGTACTGACTTAAAGCTTTCTTCATTAATATTTTGCACTTGCAGTATGAATGTTATAGCGTCTTTGTTTTGATGGTAATGAAAGTCAGGACATACTGGTTCTGTTTTCTTTAAATAGTCATCTAAGTTGAATGCTGTGTTTGCAGAGGAATCTAATTGTAGATAATCATCTACTTCCTCACCCGCAGAACGACTGCATACCTCTTCCAAAGACCCAAGAGATTCTTTACCACTCATTGCATTTGTGACGTTTTCCTGTTCTTCAGGATCTACCTCTGAAACAAGTTTGGAAAAAGCAATTACGTCATTTGGTTTCACTGAAGTATTATTTGAAACTAATGCAGTCTCTTTAGCGACTGACTCTGTAAGAGTTTTGCTTTGGCTCAGTTTCAGGTGTTCATCGTTCTCAGATTGCTCCAAATTGGAATCTTGTAAGGTGCTAAGTTCAAATTCACTTTCTGGATTCACACAAGCACCAAAACGCTCTCCATTTTGATGAGGTGAATGTCTTTCAAGCTCATAAAATTCTGATTCACAAAATGATTGGCCACTCTCTGTGGACTCATTCCCTGATTGTTCAAAATCACCAGCAGAAAACTGTCCAATTTCTAGGGTTTGCTTCAGACGTAGCACAGGCAAAGTAACCACAAGCTGTCTCTTCGATTTGTTAAATGTAGCTGACCCCAGATTTTCATCTACTGGATAAGGTAGATTTAAATTAAGCTTGTAAGCCGGTTTCTGTGACTCCAAACTTAAAACTTGCTCATTTACATCTAAACAAGCATTCTCAGCAGACTTAAGCAAAGGGAGGTCAATAGTAATCACCAGTTCTTTAGGTCTAGTGCTGGGAGCAGCTTCACGAGCGTATCGATAATCTTGCAAATCAACATGTGACCTGTGAATAATGGCATATTTGGGTTGAGTCAACTTGCTGTCTTGTGTTTTTGTATTCTTGTCCTTCACAGCAGATTTTGAACTTTTGCTTGTTGTTTTAGGTTTTGTGCCATTTCCAGAGGCCATTTCTGACTTTGGGGAACCATAGGGGTAAGGAAACCGTAAAGGGTCATCTTCATCTGGAGGTTCCTTGGGAACACCAGGAATAGGTTTTCGAATGACAGCAGCCTCAGGCATTCCCTTGTATTTTGCTTTTAAAGTTTTAACATTTCTTAAATCTAGTTTGGCATTTAGTTGCTTCTCGATCACTTCAACTGAAGTTTGATCTACCATTGTTTTGAACTTCTGGTTTTTATTCGCCATATACAGTGTGTCTGAATGAAACACTACATCGTAAATCATGTGTTTTCTGCCATCTTTACCCAGATCTTCTCTCCCCGGCGCCAGACTGTAGGGAAGAGACCAATGTTGTCCCACTGTCCCATTGGCACCCTTTCCAGCTTTGCAAACGGGTTTATTTATCAAGTCGTTACTGCACACGTTGATGAAACATTTCTGGTCCCCATTGACGCTGGTTTTTAGGACATAACCTGGTTTGGGATGCACGAACTTAACGTCCATGCCCCTCTCTTTTTCAAGTTGAATGATTTCCTCTTCGTACTTTTTTTTATTTTCCGGATTGGAGATTTCTTCCGCGTATTCACAGAGCATTTTTCTAAACTTTTCATCTTTAAACGCTGTGGAGAAGCGTTCCACTTCATCCTGGGTCAAGTCCAACTCCTCTAGTTTGGAGAAAGACGCCATTTTACAACTCCGCCTCAGCGCCACTTCATCCGCCGGGCGAGGTCGCACCCTGATGACGTCAACACACGAAAGTTTGGCGATCCTTCACATTAATCTCCCCCTTTATCCAACTCCGAAAGTATTATTTTTAAATCTGTTCAGTAATTTGTTTGAAAGTAACGCAATTTTATGCCTCGGGGATGTAGAACGTTGGGTAACTACGTGATGCATAATGTGTGGCGGATTAAGTTCGGAATCAACCCGAGGTGATGTGTCCTGGTTGCCAAGGAGACGTCGATCAAACCCGAACGGAGACCAGGCCTGAGCGCTGCTTTGTTTACGATCGGATTGTTAGCATGTTGTAAATAAACTCTGGTTGTTGTTATACAAATATTGCCCGCAGTTGGGAACTGCCGAAGCAAATAGTTTCATTGGTGACCCTGCCCGTAGGTTCTTTTAAATTAAGAAACCAAGTTGAACAAGAATTTGGCTCAATATCATAATTACATGGACGCTGGATCGCCAACCCTATGTGATTATCATCTTTCAAGTGGTAATTTTATCTTAAGTTGTTAGCTGTTGATGTCAAGCATTAGAAACAGTAAGCTTTCCTACTCTCAACTGTCAAAACAAAACTCAATAGATCAAACTACGTACCAACTGTACAACACTAGCAACGTAACTCTAGCACTGATGAATGTGAAGGCAGTGTAGAGGGTACAAAAATGATTTACAAGAATTGTTCTGTGGATGAATAAGCTGGAACTGTTCTTATTAAAAATAAAAGATTGAGAGGGGATTTGGTGTGGAGGTGCCGGTGTTAGACTGGAGTGGACAGTGTCAGAAGTCACACGACATCAGGTTATAGTCCAACAGGTTTATTTGAAATCACGAGCTTTTGGAGCGCTGCTCCTTTGTCGGTTGAAGTGAAAGGACGCGTGCAGGCACAGAATTTATAAGCGGAGAGATAATGGCAAGATAATTCCAGGTAATTAAGAGTGTCAAAAGATAAGTACAAAGTCTTTTGACACTTCTAATTACCTGGAATTATCTTCCCATTATTTCTCTGCTTATAAATTCTGTGCCTGCACGCTTCCCTTCACTTCACCTGACAAAGGAGCAGCGCTCCAAAAGCTTGTGATTTCAAATAAACCTGTTGGACTATAACCTGATGTCATGCGACTTCTAACTTTGTTCAAACTATGAATCAGGACAAAGAAGATAACATCAACTTATTTGTTAAAATATTTTTAACATCATAAAATGGCCCAAGGCATTTCATAGGAGCATTATACAACAAAGTATGTCAGTGAGGTCCACAAGAATTTATTAAGTGAAGTGACAATAGAGGTCAGTTTTATGTAGTAACTTAAAGGAGGAAAATCTTAAAGCAGTGAAGTAGGTAGAGAAACAAGGAGGTGTGGAGAAAGTATTCTAAAGCTTAGGACCTAGGCAATTTTAGACCAATCATGGAGCAACTACAGTTGAGAGTGTGCAATAGAGCAGAATTAGAGGAGCAAGGCCATGAAGGGATCTGGAAGGTAGGACAAGAATGTTTTTAAATATGTTGTTTGGCAGTTTCCAATGCAGGTCACCAAGCACAGGCAAAGAAAACCGAACTTGGTGCGACTTGGTGCCCCTAGGTAGCAGCAACATAGTATTGAATTTTACATTCAGTTTAGGCAGAAAATAGTGGGTCCTGGCTAAGATAAACTGGCAAATTAGTTTAAAGGATAGGTCAATAGAGATGCAGTAGCAAGCATCCAAGGAGATATTTCAGAATATACAGAGGAGATTTATTCCAATGAATAAGAAAAAATCAAAGAGACAAACTTACCATCTGTGGTTAACAAGAAAAGGTTAAAGGTAGCATCAAATTCAAAGAAAAAGCATATAGTTGTGCAAAGAAAGTGGGGGGCAGGTCAGAAGACAAGACAGATATTTAAAAGCAGCAAAGAATAACTAAAAAAAAGGAAATAATTATAGAGTACAAGAGAAAGCCAGCCAGAAATATTAAATCATAAGGAAGAGTTTCTATAAATATTTCAAGAAAACAGTTAACAATGTGTTAGTCCTATAGAAAGTTAAACTAGAGAATTAATAATGGAAAATAAGGAAATGTCTGATGCAGTGAACAGATATTTTGCAACTGTCTTCAGTATAGAAGAAATGAGTAACATATCAGAAGTAACAATAAATCAGGAGATTGAAGGGAGCGAGGTCAGAGGAAAATCACAATCACTAGAGAAGTGGTGCTGAGTAAATTGTTGGGCTGCAAGCTTAAAATACCCAGGCTCTGATGGGCTTCACCCTAGAGTTCTTAAAAGAAAAGGCTAGTGAGATAATTAATGTATTTGGTTTTAATTTTCCAAAACACTCTCCATTCAGGAATGGTGCAACTGGGTTGGAATATAGCAAAAGGGAGGCATAAAGCAGGAAACTACAACAGTTGGCTTAACATCTGTCATAGGTAAAATGATAGAAGCTATTATTAAAGTTAAAGGAAGGCACTTGGATAAGATTAAGGTCATCAGGCAGAATTAATATTACAAGGGAAATCATGTTTGACCAATCTACTGGAGTTCATTAAGGATATAATACTTGCTATGGATAAAGGGGAACTGGTAAATATACTGTAATTAGATTTCCAAAAGTTATTTGATAATCTGCCACATCAAAGGTTGTTGTGGAAAATAAAGCTCACAGTGTGGTGATTGCATATTGGTGTGGTTAAAAGATTGGTTCGCTGATAACTAATGTAGGCATGAATGGGTCCTTTTCAGGTTGCTGGATGTAACAAGTGGTGTTCCACAGGGATCGGCGCGGAGATTTCAACTGTTTACAATTTATATAAATGATTTACGTGAAGGGACGAAGGATATGGTTGTCAAATTTTCTGATGTCACAGATGTCGGAAAGTAAGTTGTGAAGAAGACATGAGAACACTACAAAAATATATGGATAGATTAAATGAGTGGGCAGAGATCTGGCAAAGGTAATATGCATAAATCATGAAAGATTAGTATGCATGTAGATAGTAATTGGGCAAGCTAATAGAACATTGTTTATTGTCCCAGAGGACTATAGGGCTGCCCTCATTAGAGATGACTGGTGGTGGGTTTAATCCAAGGATCACCACACCTCAGGTGAGGGGCAGGGTGAGAAGGTAGAAAATTAATGGTAACCTCAACCAGTGCAGGAATTGAATCCGTGCTGTTTGCATCACTGTGCATTGCAAACCAGCCAACTGAGCTAACTGACCTCCTACTAATTGATATTTGCAAAGGAATAACCTGCTGACTGATGCTGTACGTGGGTTCCACCATGGCCCCTTGACTCCTGATATTACACCCTCGTAAACATGGACAAAAGGGATGATACACGGAGGGGTGGCAAGAATGACCACTTAATATAAATTAAACAGAACAGAGAATGGAATACAAAAGGAGGGAGGTTGTGCTTCAATTATACAGGGCACTAGTCAGACAGCAGTTGGAGCACTGTGCATCCCCATATTTTCACTTTATTTAAGGAATGATGTACACGTATTGGAGGCAATTCTGAGAAGGTGGGCTTTTCTTATGAGGAAAGGTTAGACGTGTTAAGCTTTTATCCATTGGAGTTTAGAACAGTAAGAAGTAACTTGATTGAAATACAGAAGATCCTGAGAGTTTTGACAAGGTAGATGTGGAGAGGATGTTTCCTCTATGGGTCACTGTTTAAAAATCAGGTGTCACACATTTAAACAAAGACAAGGCAAAAAATATTTTAGAGGGATGGAAATCTTTGGAACTCTCTCCCTGAAAAGGTGACAGAAGCAGAGTCCTTCAATATTTTTAAGTCAGGGGTAGGTAGATTGTTGTTAAGCAAAAGGAGGAAGACAGACAAGGGCAGTGACCGCATGGGAAGTGAACCAAATGGAGAAATAAACCTGCATTGCTGTCTGACCCAACAGTGAATCTGCATAGCTGACTATTCTGCTGTTTGATTTCAAGTATTTCTGGATTTTGGTGTCATCTAAGAGAAATTAGCAAACAGCAGAATTCACAGCTGACCTTGGAGAAACCTGTGTGGAAGAGCTCACAGCAGGAGGGCAGCTAAGTGGCCTTTTTAAAGTATAACCTTACTTTTTTTAAAAATCTACAATATTGAGTAGATTGGGTTCTTTTCTGATTATATGTTTTATTGAAATCTGTCACTTGATTAAACTTTAAAAATATAAAACATAAGAATTAAGTTAGCCTGTAACAGTGTTTTCAGAGCAGGAGGACTGTGCTATTTTCTGGGTCTGCAGATTGTTAAGGTGCAAAGATAGCCTTCAGTGGAGTGATGTTCTCATCCTGTCAGATGTGGGAGAGTAAGGAGAGTTTGCATGTTACTGGTGATTATGTCTGCAGGAGTGTGTTTGGTTGCAAATCCTATTGGATCGCATGGATTGTTTGGAGTGGCAGTTAGAGGCAATGAGGAATTTATGGGAGCTAAGGGTGTGATCGATGGCAGTTGCAAGAAGCAAGATAAACTGAAGATATAGGTAGATGGGTTATCTCCAGGAAGGGCAGGAGGGGGAGGCAGGTCGTGCAGGAGTCTCATGTGGCTATCCCCATCTCAAACAAGTACGCTTTTTTGGAAAACGTATCAGATGATGAACTTTCAGGGGAATGTAGCACTCACAGCCAGGTTTCTGGTACCAAGACTGGCTCTAATGTAATGAGGGGTATGTCAGGTTCCAAGCGATCGATTGTGATAGGGGACTGTCTCGTCAGAGGCACAGACAGAGGTTTTTGTGGCCGACAGCAAGAAATCAGAATGGTGTATTGTGTCCCTGGTGCCAGCATCAAGGATATCTCGGAGAGATTGCAGAATATCCTCAAGGGGGAGAGGGACTAGCAGGAGGTTATTGTACACATTGAAACTAATGACATAGGAATAGAAGAGGATGAGATTCTGAGGAGAGAATATAGGAAGTCGAGCAGAAATTTAAAAAAGAGGTCCTTGAGGGTAGTAATAGCTGGATTAATCCCGGTGCCATCAGCTAGTGAGGGTAGGAGTAGGAGAATAGAGCAGATGAATGTGTGGCTGAGGACCTGGTGCAGTCAAGAAGGATTCACAATTTTGGATCACTGGAATCCTTTCTGGGGTAGAAGTGAGCTATATTAGAAGGACGGATTGCACATGAATTGGAAAGGGACAGTCAGGAACAAAGCAGAGAATGAGGTAGGACTGATAAATTAAACTGTATTTATTTCAATGCAAGAGGCCTAACAGGTAAGGCTGATGAACTCAGGACACAGTTGGAAACATGGGACTGGGATATCTTGGAACCCGGCTCAGGGATAGACAGGACTGGTAGCTTAATTTCCAGCGTATAGATGCTATCAGAAGGAAAGGTTGGGGGAGTGGGGGGAATGGCACTTTTGATTAGGGATAACATAATGGCTGTACTTGGGGATGATATTCCTGGGAATACGTCTAGGCAAGTTATTTGGTGGAACTGAGAAATAAGAAAGGGATGATCACCTTATTGGGGTTGTACAATAGATCCCCTAGTAGCAGGAAATTGAGAAACAAATTTGATCTCGGTTATCTGTAAGAATAATAGGGTGGTTATGGTAGGGGATTTAAACTTTCCAAACATAGACTGGGACTGCCATAGTGTTAAGGGCTTGATTGGAATGGAATTTATTAAGTGTGTACAAGAAAATTTTCTGATTCAGTATGTGGATGTACCTATTAGAGAAGGTGCAAAACTTGACATCCTCTTGAGAAATAAGGCAGGGCAGGTGACTGAGGTGTCAGTGGGGGAGCACTTTGGGGCCTGCAACCATAATTATATTAGTTTTAAAATAGTGATAGAAAAGGATGGATCAGATCTAAAAGTTAAAGTTCTAAATTGGAGGAATGCTAATTTTGACAGTATTAGACAAGAACTTTCAAAAGTTGATTGGGGGCGGATGATTGCAAGTAAAAGGAATGGATGGAAAATGGGAAGCCTTCAAAAATGAGATAACGAGAGTCAGAGACAGTATGCTCCTGTTAGGGTGAAGGGCAAGGCTGGTAGATATAGGGAATTCTGGATGACTAGCGAAATTGAGGTTTTGGTCAAGTAAAAGAAGGAGACATATGTCAGGTATAGACAGCAAAGATCGAGTGAATCCCTAGAAGTGTATAAAGGCAGTAGGAGTATCCTTAAGAGGGAAATCAGGAGGGCAAAAAGGTGAAATGAGATAGCTTTGGCAAATAGGGTTAATGAGAATCCAAAGGGATTCTACAAATACACTAAGGGCAAAAGGGTAACTAGGGAGAGAATAGGGCCTGTTAAAGATCTGTAAGCGAACCTATGTGTGGAACTGCAGAAGATGAGGAGATAATAAATGAGTATTTTGTATTAGTGTTTACTAAGGAGAAGGATATGGAAGATGTAGAAAATGGAGAAATAAATACAAACATCTTGAAAAATGTCCATATTACAGACGAGGAGGTGCTAGACAGCTTAAAATGCATAAAGGTGCATAAATCCCCAGGACCTGATCAGGTGTACCCTAGAATTCTATGGGAAGCTAGGGAAGTGATTACTGGGCCCCTTGCTGAGGTATTTGTATCAATAGCCACAGGTGAGGTGCCAAAGACTGCAGGTTGGCTAACATGGTCCCATTATTAAGGTGGTAAGGAAAATCCAGGGAACTATAGACCAATGAGCCTGACACTGGTGGTGGGAAAGTTGTTGGAGGGAATCCTGAGGGACAGAATTTGCATGTATTTGGAAAGGTAAGTACAGATTAGGGATAATCAACATGGTTTTGTGTGTGGGAAATTGTGTCTCACTAACTTAATTAAATTTTAAAAGAGAATTGATGAGGGCAGAGTGGTGGACATAATCTATATGGACTTCAGTAAGGTATTCCACAAGGTTCATCGTGGTAGACTGGTTAGCCAAGTTAGATCACATGGAATACAGGGAGAACTAGCTATTTGGATACAGAACTGGCTTGAAGGCAGAAGACAAAGGGTAGTGGTGGAGGGTTGCTTTTCAGACAGGAGGCCTGTTACCAGCGGAGTGCCACAAGGATTGGTGCTGGGTCTACTGCTTTTTGTCATCTATTTAAATGATTTGGATGTGAATGTAGGAGGTATGGTTAGTAAGTTTGCAGATGACACCAAAATTGGAGTAGTGGATGGCGAAGGTTTCCTCAGAGTACAACAGGATCTTGATCAGATAGGCCGAGGAGCAGCAGATGGAGTTTAATTTACATAGGTGAGGTGCTGCATTTTGGAAAGGCTCATCAGGGCACGGTTGTACATTTAATGGTAAGGTCCTGTGGAATATTGCTGAACAAGGAGACCCTGGAGTGCAGATTCATAGTTCCTTGAAAGTGGAGTCGTAGGTAGACAGGATAGTGAGGAAGGCGTTTGGTATGCTTGCCTTTATTGGTCAATGCATTGAGTATAGGAGTTGGGAGGTCATATTGCAGCGGTACAGGACATTGGTGAAGCCACTTTTGGAATACTGCGTTCAATTCTGGTATCCCTGCTATTGAGATGATGTTGTGAAAGGGTTCAGAAAAGATTTCCAAGGATGTTTCCAGGGTTGGAGGGTTTCTGGAATGTTGGAGGCTGAGGGAGTGACCTTACAGAGGTTAATATCATGAGGGGTGTGGATAGGGAACAGACAAGGTCTTTTCCCTGGGATAGGGGAGTCCAAAACTAGAGAGCCTAACTTTAAGGTGAAAGGGTAAAGATTGGGTAGGCAACGGCCTAGTGGTATCATCGCTGGACTGTTAATCCGGAGGCCCAGATAACATTCCGGGGACCCGGGTTTGAATTCCGCCGTGCCAGATGGTGGAATTTGAATTCAATTTTTAAAAATCTGGAATTAAGATTGATTGATAATCTGGATTGATGACCATCAATCCATTGCTGATTGTCAGGAAAGCCTAACTAGTTCACTAATGTTCTTTAGGGAAGGAAACTGCCATCCTTACCTGGTCTGGCCTACATGTGACTCTAGACCCAGAGCAACATGGTTGACTCTGAACTGCCCCCTGGGCAATTAGGGATGGGCGATAAATGCTGCCTAGCCAGCAACGCCTTCATCCTGTTAATGAATAAAGGATTTAAAAGGCACTTAAGGGGCAACTTTTTCCACACAAAGGGTGGTGCGTGTATGGAATGAGCTGCTAGAGGAAGTGGTGGAGGCTGGTAGTTACAACATTAAAGGCATCTGGATGGGTATATGAATAGGAAGGGTTTAAAGGAATATGGGCCAAATGCTGGCAAATGGGACGAGATTTATTTAGGATACCTGGTTGGTATGGATGAGTTGGACCAAAGGGTCTGTTTCTGTGTTGTACATCTCTATGACTAAGTGCGTGAAAGGTTATCAGGAATGTGAATTTGAGATTATAATCAAATCAGCCACGATGTTATTGAATGGCAGAGTAGTTTCAAACGGCTACGTGACATTCACCAGCTCATAATTCATATGAGTAAAGGTATGTGTGGTAAATTTTTGGATGACCAAGTAGAGTGCAGGAAACCAATAAGGAGTAAACTGCAATATCCATGGCTAGAGGTAATGAAGAAATGAATGAAGGTTTCAGCGGGAGATGAGCTTGGGCAAGGATGAAGTTGGGCAAATGATTATCCCCACTAACAATTTTGAGTGTCCTTTTCCCATCATGGCAACATTCAGATATCTGAAGTATATTAGTACAATAAATTGAAAGATGTGTCACAGAGGTTTTCTGTCAATTGCACACAATGTGTAAAATACAAGTTTAATAAATTCTGATAAGATAAACTTTGATTTAAAAAGAACAGTTCTTATAAAAGGATATAATTACAAATTTTAATTTGGCATCAATCTTTGAAAAAAAAATGTGGATAGTTATCAAAAATGAAGGTGCAACTAAACCAGACACACATTTGAAGTTTAATCTATAAACAAAAAAAATACTTGTATAGATATGTACAAATAAACAAGGAATTATCGAATATGGAAAAGACGTTAATGTGCAAATGTAAGTCTTCAATGTCCAGTCTCTTCCAACTTTTAAAAGTTCACAATCAAAGATTCTGAAGTTTACTGAAATGGAAGAAAAATGTAATCAGTATCTTTACAAGAATTGGTTGATACTAATCTCTTATACAGATTATAATACAGTAAGGTAAAACTGATGCGTCTTTGTAACAAATGTTTTCATTACATTTTTTTATGTCAAAAAATCTGGTCATAATTGTGAATACATTTAAAGAGACTTTTAAACAAATGTTTAAGTTCTGTGGAAAATACTTTTCCCTTCCTGTCTCCTAACATATTCCTGAGTTTAGAGTTTTGTCCATTACCTGTCCTCCACAGTTCTATTTGAAGGGTAGTACACCTTGAAGCAGAATCCACTTCGAGGAAATGAGCCCTAAAACAAAGAAGTAAAATTTCTATTAAAAGATGTGCAATTAATACTGTAGCTCCTGCCACTGCACCAAAATAGGTGGACATGCCCACCTGGCACCCACTACATCCAACAGCACATGCAGCTTCTCCTACAGGTAACCACACTGTTGTTAAGTTAGCTGTCAGATTCAGCTTACAGTAACAAAAATTAAAGGAAAAACAGAAAGGAGAAAAAATGCATTGCAAATGACAACAGATCCAAGTGAGAACTTTGAAAGAACCTGAAACCAGTTTGGTCAATGAGTACCATGTCAAACAGTAATTAAACAACACTCTTACACTGAATTCTGAAAACTCACTAAAGTTGTTGGAAAAAAACTTGGAACATTTTAAAAAAGGTCTATAGATTAGTTATGTTGCTTACATTGGATCGGTTTACAAAGTAATAAAATTTTGATGCACTGGTTCTTACAGGATTGATGCAGATACAATCTGTATGGATGATGTTGAATGGATCATATTTGTCAGCGAACACAATCAAGTCGGGTAGCGGGTATACAGAAAGAGCATAATCATAGGCCCAGTAGACTGGACTAACGAACAGTGGGAGCGGTGTTAGATGTCCTTGCGCTATGATGGTCTTCACAAACTACCAAGAGAGTTGAAGGAAAAATATTAGTGAATGCATCTTTTACAATCACAGAAAACCTTTACAATGACTTAATATATATTTAAAAAATACTGCTTTATAGGAAAAATAACTGCACATTAACTCATCTGTTACCAAAGACTCAAAAGATTCGTATTGAACCTACACCAAAGACTAGATTTCCCACCCAAGAAGTAAAGAATCACCAATGCAGCTTTGAAAAACAATGTTACTAGTTAAAGAATGAATAAATAGATAAAAAGCACACACAAAAAGGTCAATACCAGGTTAAATTTTATGTACAGGAAATTTACAGCTAATTGTTTGAACGAATGAGATACAATAGAAAGGAAAAGCTTACTCGGACACTGCAGCAGGCTTGATTAATCTTACAAAGAGATGTCACTGTAACATAATTATGCTTTTTTAAAATCATTGCAAAACCATGTCAAAACTTTTTAAAAATATAGTTTAAATAGCTAATTAATGCTTGCAACATCAAAACAGCTGGTCCTGTATGAGACAGCAATTTGTAAAAGTAAATAATATGCAGTGGGGATATGGGGTGGTCTGTGAACCTGTAGGTGGAATAGTTCCTGGAGCCAAATAGCCTTCACAAAAGGGAAAATTATTCTTCACGGAAGGCAATTGGTCTTTACCAGTGCTAATTTCAAGGTCAACAAAGGAGACTCCACCTGTCCAGACAAATGTAGTAAAATTTATGGGAAAGCCAAAAATCAAGAGACTTTCACCAGAGCTGCCATGTTGCAGCAATTAGAAAGGGTATAAAGCATGTAGATATACAACTAAACAAGAAATAAAGATGGATCCTCCACAGCAGATACAAGCTGCAGGTATTCGCTATATTTTATTCATATGATTGCCCTACAACAGAAGTGAAACAAAGAATCTTCTTACTTCTCCAGGCATTTTGTCAGTTAAATTTTATATTCTATAAAAATGAGTGTCGTGTCTAATTGAACAGTATGTATTTTATCTAACAGAATACAAGATATTGTTATAGTCCAAAATCCATAATGCCTTGTGCATTGATTTGCTTTTGGGAGGTTGTGCAGGGGGATGAGAGAGAGAGAGCAATTAGGCATATAGGCCTTTCACAACTCATGACATCCCAAAATGCTTTTTTTCCCCCAACTGAAGACTCTTAAAGTAATGCAAGGATGTGAAAAAAAACCTGAAGGCAGGATATTAAAACCATCTATAACATGTAGCACAGATTCAACAATCTAATATAAAGATTGAGCAATTGTATTTCTGAAACAAGGCTAAGAAATTTTCATTGTGGTTGAAGACTCAAAGGAGAATTTCTTATGGTTGAAAAGATAGCAAAGAGGGGTTATCAAATTTAAAATAGTTATTGAGAATGATAAGAAATGTTAGATAAAGTATCTGCGCAGAGTTTCTATAGCTTTGAGCATTTTGCTATTGAGAGTAGTTGATATCGAAGCAATTGCACTGTTTAAAGCACAGGAAGGTATTCGTCTCTCGGGAGGCACCAGTAGGATATGTCTCCAATTTATATATCAAAAAATTAACACACACTTTGATCTCCGGCACCCTAAATTTTCAATATTTAAATTTAGAATCAAATGGTGTATCTCCATTTTGGTAAAATGTACAAATGAAAATATCTGCAATAAACTTTCAATCCAGTTTTGCTAACATGCTGATGTAGTCAGCATTACAGAGTGAAAACACTTCCTTGCTTCCTTTAAGGACAATTATTTTAAGATTCTAAACACTAGTTTTTTGATTAAGTAGATTATCTAGTGTTTATATTTAATAGATTTTAGGCTAGATTGCCATAAACTGACTACAATAAAGGGATAATCTAATTTGAAATGTGTTACTATATAAAATTTAACCATCAGGTTTCTAGTGCACGATAGTTAGGAAACCCAAATTTATGAAGAAATATGCTAGTGGGTGCCCTTGACAGATGAATATCACTGAGCCATCAAACTGCCAAGATCTCAGTTGGCATCCCTGATCTGTGCTGAATTCACAAGAATAGCATTAAAAAGGAGCACTGCAACTGTCATGGACAAATCACTGTATTGGACATGTAGGGTAACATGTCAACTGACCACAAAATTAGGATATCTACTGGAAATAAGTCTATGGATGGATGTCAGAAAGTAATGGTATTTTGCATGGCCACTAATAGCTATCTAATGCTCACTGACTTCAGATCATTTGAAAAACAATAATGGAGGCTGGCCAGTCCATAGAGAACACTACCCAAGAATCAGAAATGCCTTTCAGTAAAGATAGAGGAGAGCTTTAATATCCCCCCCGACAAGATTTTTAGAATGTGGAATTCTTTGCCACAAATGGCTACGGAGAGAAGCACTATGTTATCATCCAAAAAGGAAATAAAGAAGTACTTAAAGATGATTAAAGAAGGTATGACCTAAAACAATAATGCAAATAATGAGCAGATGGTGTCAATTTTAATTCATTAAATAGATGAATTTTGAATGTATTAAAATCTCACTTGATAACTCTAATTGAGAAGGTAACATTCAAAGACATACAATAGCTGTCGTGTCTCAAAATTAGGAAAGGGATGTAGTGCAAGAAAGATATGGCCTTTAAAAAAGGTAAGACGTTTGTTGTGAGGAAATGAAAATAATATTGAATGCATATGCTTAATGATTTATTTCTTTTATATGTCAGTTCATATCAGCATAAGCTTCTTACAGAAATATGTAAAATCTTAAGCACATAATCGAACTATTCAATCCCAGCGAATTGAGTTTTTATATTATTTCCAACAACTTTAATTTTTTTCCATCCATCCTGCCCCCATTTTCTTCTTCATCTATATTCTCAAGATTTCCATTATTTTTAGACTTTAGATTACAATGGTTATAGGTTAGTTCCATGAGGATAGCAAACAGAAAATAGGAGGATCAGCTGGCAATTGGGTCCATTGAGCCCAGTCTGCTATTCAACATGTCAAGGCTGATCCTTTATCTCTACGCCATACTCCTGTTTTCTCTCCATACCCCTTGACACCTTTAGCTTCGAGAAATCTATTATTTCTTTCTTGAATGTATCCAGTGACTTTGCTTCCTTGGTCTTCTGTGGTAGAAAATTCCATGGGTTCACTAAACCGAAAAAAATGTTTTATCTCAGTCTAAATTGGTCAACCACATGCCTGAAGACTATGACCTCTTGTTCTGGACCCCGCAGCCAAGGGGAAACATCATCGCTGCATCGAGACGCTAGAAAGTCTGTGGCAAGTAACTCACCTCCTGTCTCCCCTATGCCTGTCCACCATCTACAAGGTATTACTCAGGAGTGTCATGGAATTCCCTTTGCTTGCTTTGATGGATACAGCTCCAAAAACATTGAAAAAATCTTGACACCATCCAGGACAATGTAACCCACTTGATTAGCACCTCATCCACAATCTTCAACGTGCACTCCTTTTACCACAGTGCACAGTGACTGTATGGTGTACCATCTCCAAGATACACTGCAGTAATTCACCAAGGCTCCTCAGACAGCTCCTTCTAAACCTGTGATCTTTACAATCTAGAAGGACCAATGCAGCAGATTCATGCGAACATCCCCACCTCCAAGTGACCCTTCCAAATCACACACTATACTGGCTTGGAAATGTATTGCCATTCCTTGACTATCACTGTTTCAAAATCCTGAAAAGCCTGTCCTAACAGTACTGTGGGTCTCCTTACAGCTTAAGGACTGCAGCAGTTCAAACAAGCAGCTCACCACCACCTTCTCCATCACAATTAAGATGGGCAATAAATGCTGGCCTAGCCAGCAAAGCCCACATCATGAACAAATAAAAATAAATTGGCAACAGATTGAACATTTCAGTAAGCCAGCATATTCTTGTAACGCTGTTGTCTTTTAAATCCTTTGATAGTGCTTTTGTTACCTAGAAGTAAGACAAGGAAAGTGACACTCTGGATCATGGCGAAATTACAAGGTCATCCAAAAGTAATGGCTGATAACACCGAACCAGAACATCTAGTGTAAAAATTCAAAAACAAATGAACAGTTACTCACGTGGTTTGGAATATCCAAATTGCTGCTAGGAAAGCGAATACAATTTCTGCACATCTTATTGACCAAATCTTCACGAAAAATGATGATTTCCTGTGTACAATACTGAATCCTAACAATAACAAGCACAGAAAAATAATGTTAATCTGTTTTGAAGAAAATTAGAATGTGCGCTCAATAAGGTAGCCAGTGAACTGTGAAACGATCAGTTATATTAAACATTTACCTGCAGGGATTTGTAGTAAATACAGAAAATAGAATTCTCTTGCTGAACTCTTCTGTGATATAGTCAGCTAGCGGAGGTCTTTAAACAAATAAAAGTAAAACTATAAACAATTTCTGCAATCAGCTCACTATAAAACCAATCTTTTACACACACACACACACACACACCGTCTTAAAAAAGGTGATCTTGCTTCCTTGTGTATTTAGAAGAATTTTACTGTTTTAATGCAAAACCACGCTTTTTAAAAAGTTACATTGGGAAAATTTCAAGAATGTAAATTGCTAGAATACCTTTCATGACCCTGAACATATAAAAGAGGTACATGGAACAAAAAGTCAAATACTGCCAAGGAAGTGGTGGTGAGACCACATCAGGTGATATTAGACTCAAAGGGTTACAACTGACTGAAGTGACCAGGCAGGTCAGAAACCAATAACAATGGAATTATTTCATTCGGTCCCATTGTCACTCAGAATAGGAAAATAGTAGCAGTTGTACTATTGGGAAAACCAAGTCCAATGGAACTGGATATAATCAATTTTAAAAACAGAAGGAATACACCAAGAACTTGTGATTACCTGGGTAAGATAGAACCAGGACCTGGATCATCAGGGCCAGGAACAAAAACAAAGCGGCTACTGCAGAACAAGAGAAAATATTTAGAATCTATTATCGAGCACAGTGTAGTAAAAGATGTGTCTTCTGAAATTTCTGAAGAATGATTTTTTTTAAAAATCATAGCTGTAGTGATCACGTGATGCAAGAATATTCTACATCTTATCAAATGAAATGATTTACACTGAAAAGTAAAGAAGGATCCTTATTTTAATATTTCCATGATATAAAATGATGCTAGGATGTACTTTGTTTGAGCTGGAGGAACACAGCAGGTCAGGCAGCATCAGAGGAACAGGAAAGTCAACGTTTCAGGTTTACACCCTTCGTCAGGACTGGGGACGGGTGAGGAGCTTGGAAATAAATGGAGGGAGGATGGGGCTTGAGAAATGTAGGTGGGATGGTGATAGGTGGTTGCAGGAAGGGGTAGGGGGGATTGGTCAGTGGGATGGGTGGGGCACATAGGTGAGAAGGAAGATGGACAGGTTGTGTCAGGCCAAGGAGGTAGGGATGCGAGGGCAGGTTGGACACGGCATGAGGCTGGGAGTGGGGAGATTTTGAAACCGGTGAATTCTACTTTGAGGCCATTGGGCTGTAGGCTCCTAAGGTGGAATGAGATATTGTTTCCTCCAGTTTGTGTGTGGCATCATTGCAACACTGGAGGAGGCCCATGACGGACATGTCACCCAGGGAGTGGGAGGGGGAGATAAAATGGTTGGCAACCAGAAGGTGTTTTTGATTATAGTGTACAGAGCGCAGATGCTCCGCGAATCGGTCACCGAGTCTGCACTTGGTCTCACCGATGTAGAGGAGACCACATCGGGAACACTGGATATAGTAGACCAGGTTGGAGGACGTACAGGTGAACCCCGTTGGATTTGAAAAGATTGTCTGGGGCCTTGGATGGAGGTGAAAGGGGAGGTGTAGGGGCGGATATAGCACCTGCTGTGGTTGCAGGGAAAGGTGCTGGGTGTGGTGGGGTTAGAGTGGAGTGTGGAGCATGGAGCGGACGAGGGAGTCGCAGCGCAAAACTACAGGAACAGCCCAATGACCTAAACGTGGATTTTACCAGTTTCAAAATCTCCCCAACCCCGGCTTCATTCCCACCTCTTTGACCTGACACAACCTGTCCATCTTCTTTCCCACCTAACCACCCCACCCTTCCCACTGACCAATCTCCACTAGCCCCTACCTGCATCCACCTATCACCATCCCACCTACCTTCCCCCAGCTCCACGGCCTGTCTATTTCCGAGCTCCCCGTCCCCTCCCCAGTCTTGATGAAGGGTGTAAACCCGAAACTCAACTTTCCTGCCCCTCTGATGCTGCCTGACCTGCTGTGTTTCTCCAGCTCCACACTGTATTGACTCTGACTCCAGCATCTGCAGCTCTTCCTATCTCCAAGTGTACTTTATTTGAAAGTCATTTGGCTGGAATCTCCCAATTATGAGTTTTCTAAGTTTACTAAGTCCAAAGTTGCCATTGCTATATCTCTTATGCAAAGCCCAACAACTTCCAGTCCTGTAACATCACCCATCATTGCCTTTCAAAATAACTTTTATTGCCAAAATTTTCATCCATGTTTTTTGCACTTCCACACTTTTAATATTCCAAAGTTGTCTAAACTTGAACTGCCATCCTACAACCTCCATAAACTTCAACACATCCAAAACCACATCGCTCGTAACGTAACCAACAGAAAAGCTCATTCCCACATCACCTCAGTGCTCACTAACCTTTCGGTTGGCTCCCAATATCCTAATGCTACGAATTGAAGATACTCATCCTTGTGTAGTGACTAATGTTGCACACAGGGACATAAAATGCCAGGTCTGTAGTCAGATGATGAGGCACAGAGCAAGGTAACTCAAGTAAATTTATCAAATTTAACAAAAGCCCAAAAAAAAGCACAATGTGAAATTCAGAGGAGGACGAATCGTCAGATCTGTCAATATTAACGTTTTGAAGATAAATATTTTTATGATTTGCTTCCTCTGTCATTTGATTGCAATCTACTAATGGGGCTGATTGAATGTTTAAAGCACTTACTTTTTGTGGATATTCGGATATTCACAGATAATATCTGCAAGTGTTTTCAGAGATTCTGAAAATGTGATAAGATTAAATTAAAAATAAAGTTGGAGTTCTACACAAATCAATTAATAGATTTTTTAAAAAATTGCACCTCACCTTTTAGAGACTTTATTTGGTTGTTTCCATATGGAGCAGAGGAAAAATTGCCACAGAAGATGAAACAAGTGGGCGGTATGGAAGAATAACCTACAGAGCACACAGTATAAGTATGTGTGGTCTACACCACGACTACAGGAATGTTTAATGCAGATGTATACATATTAAAAACATCCATTTTATATGACTGCATTCCGGAACAGTCGACTGAAGTAAATGATAAACTTCTATTCAACTTTCTTTTGTCACCATTTCTTAATTTGAGATAACCAATCATTACATATTAAAACAAAATTTTTACGATTAGAAGGTGGTAAATCTATGTCAGCAAATATACTTGCTTCAAAGAAGATTATAACTCTCTCTCCTTGCTCCCCAACTAATACTCATGTTTCTAAAAATAATACAAACAAGAAAAAGGGAGTGATGTTAAGGTAAAGGAGAGAAAGAAAGTGTATGGATGTTGGTTAAAGGCAGGATTGGGATTAGTTTCCATCTCTGTAAGCTTAGACAAGCTCAACACCCCAATGCCAAGTGGAATTCTACGTAATGTGATAAGCTACAATTATTTGATTAAATGAATACAGTCAACAAATTACCTGAAAACATCATATGAAGTTTTTCAAGTACTTCCACCTGGTCCAGCCACAGATCGGAGACAAAAACAAACATGGCATCTTCATTTTCTTCCTCCAAT